AGGCTGGCGGGCCGGGCCGGCAAGGGAGCCGCGTCTCGGGCCTCACGTCGCTTGTCTTGCCCGCTTCCGGGCCGGTGGAGCCGCTCCAGCCGCGCTCGAGGCCTCCCAGGAGCGACACCGCCGCTCCAGATGCCGGGAGAGCTGGCAACTCAGGAGCGCGTAGGAACCCAGCGAGGCGAGGCGTGCCGCGTGCCGCGCGCCGCCGGCAGCCACGAGCGTCCGTCCCCCCAGGGCGCGCGAAGGCTGAAGGCGGGCTGGGCCCCGGTCTTTCCGAGGAATGGCTTTCGCAGTGACACGAAGCACGCAGGGCTGTGTCCGGCGGCGACGCCGGCGCAGCGACCACACCCGCGCGCGCAGCCCCTGCGACCGCGCCTCGCCGCACACACGCAGCCGCACGGCCAGCAGCCGGCGGACTCGCTGCTGCAGGTTCGCTGTCGTGCTGCGTTTTGGACTGGAGCCCCAGATCCCTCCACTGGACTTGAGTCGGATACGTGAGGAGGCGACAGCCATTTCTCCTGTGATCACAGCTGGCAAATTACTCGTGATATTTTAGAACTAACAGAAGTCTCCCATATAATCTGGTACCCTTTCCTCAAGCAACAATCGATAGTCTTTTTTTTTTTTGAGTTGGAGTCTCAGTCTGTCACCCCGACTGGAGTGCAGGGGCCGCTCCCGGCCACCGCAGCCTCCACCCGCTGGGCTCCAGCGATCCCTCCGCCTCGGCCTTCCGAGTCGCCGGAACTACAGGCGCGCGTTACCACGCCCGGCTCATTTTTAATTTATTGTAGAGATGAGGTCTCGCCAAGTTGCCCAGGCGGGTCTCGAACCCGCGGTGCTCCCACTATTTTATTAAGATGAACTGTATTGTTGGCCAGGAAGCAAAGGTAGAAGGGGTTCTTTTTCCTTGCAGTTTAAACTGAGCTGTCACATCTAGTTTTTGTGCATGCCTATAAAGTCTCTTCTGATCTGTGATTCTCAACTTCTTTAGTGAAGCAGTCGAACCACCAGGCTTATTGAGGCTTTGATCATCATTTACCCATAATTCTGAGTCAATGGGCTCTGCATAAAGGTTTTCAGATTCTGACAAGATATTTGTTCCTCCTTTCCTTCCCTTCTCTTCCCTCCCCTCCCCTCCCCTTCTCCTTTCCCTCTCTCTTGTGAGTCAGGGCCTCACTCTGTCATCCAGACTGGAGTACAGTGACTCACCACAGCCTCGACCTCCTGGGTTCAGGAGATCCTTCCACCTCAGCCTCTCTAGTAGCTGGGGCTACAGGTACAAGACACCATGCACTGCTAATTTTTTATTATTGTAGTGGTTATGTTGCTGTGACCTCAAGCGCTGGATCCTTGTGCCTCAGCCTCCCAAAGTGCTAGGATTGCAGGCATGAGCTACCACCCTCAGCCTAGATTCTGATATATTTTCTCTATTGGAGTTAAAGTATGAAGATTTGTAGCAGCTACTTTTGTCATACATTAGACTTCAATAGGATTTGGTTATCAACAGCTATATTACTGATTTCTGACCATTCACACTTCATGGTGATTTCACAAGAGAAGGTATATTATTCTGGTTTCCTTGCCAGGCTTGTTTTTTGTAATCACATTTACTGAAGCATAATTTTCATACAATAAAATGTCCATTTTAAGTTTACAGTTTGATGAGGTTTGACAAATGTATATTCCTATAATTACCATCCAGATCAAGATACTGAAAATTCGCATCTATCCAAGAAAGTTTTCTCATAAAAGTTTTCTCTGCAGCCATCCTGCCCCACCTACCATTTTCCCAGGCAATTACTAATTTCTAAAACCATACATTAGTTTTGCCACTTCTTCATAAAAACAGAAGCATACACTATGTACTTGTTTGTGTCTGGCTTCTTTTTGCCAACAATGTCTACCAGTAACATTGCATGTATTGAGCATTATTTCATTCTTTGGGGTTTTTTTGAGTTGGAGTCTCACTATGTTGCCCAGGCTGGAGTGCAGTGGCATGCTCATGGCCATCCCAGCATCCACCTGCTGGTCTCAGGCGATCCATCCACCTCAGCCTTCCAAGTAGCCAGAACTATAAGCGTGTGCTACCACACCTGGCTAATTTTTTTGATTTATTGTAGAGATGAGGTCTTGCCAAGTTGCCCAAGCTGTTCTCGAACCCGTAGGCTCAGGCAATCCTCTCACCTCAGCCTCCCATAGTGCCGGGATTACAGGCTTGAGCCACTGTGCCTGGCCTATTTCACTCTTATTGCTGAGTGGTGTTCTATTGTAGATAAACCACAATTTATCCATTCATCTGTTGATGACATTGGAGTTGTTTTCACTTTTAAGTTGCTATGAACGTGTACAAGAGTCTTTTTGTGGTCACTGTTTTTGCTTCTCTTGGGTAAATAACTAGAAGTGGAATTCTGGGGTCATGAAGTAAGTATATGTTTACCTTTATAAGAAACTACCAGACTGTCTTCCAAATTGATTTTAGCATTTTCTCAGCAATGTCTGAGAATTCAAGTTCCTTGCCATAATTTATTTTAGGGAATTTTCTGTTACTTTCTTTTTCTGCCACATGACAGGAATTTTTTGTTTTGTTAGATTAACACTTTGTTGAATGTTTTAAGAGCCAAAAACTCTTTGTAAAGATGAACAAGATAGAAGTCTGTAATTAAAACATGACATGAAAAGCGAGTTGTTAGAACACCCTGGCTTCATGAGCTATCAGAGAAAAGATGAATTTTATCCTCAGAGTTTCAGCAGCATCTTTAATGGCTAGACACTTGAGACCTTTCTATAATACTTTCAGAGTTCCTGCTGCTGCTTGAATTGTAAAAGCCGCAATAGAAATATGTTTCTTTACTTCCGTCCAGGCCAAACGAGGGTCTGCTTTATTTTCAATATCAAACAAAGCATCGTAGATCCCAGGAAATGATTCTCCAGCATATTTGTTATGGCTACTTGGAGCAAAGATGATGTGCCTAAAAGAAAAATATATATATAAAGAAAAAAATATTTGAACTAAAGAGTACATAAATATTTTACATGCTTTTTATTTCTTTTTGTTAGACCATATCTTATATGTTTCTTCTTGACATTCACTAGGAAGGCATAAAATCTATTTGAGATGCTTAAGCAAAGTAGAATTTTAAGGTAAGAAAGGCTTACAATATGTATTTGCTAAGACATGTTTCAGGAATCATATGCCATGCTGTCAACCCATACAGTTGGAAGAGTAGGTGTTTTTCTTTTGAGTTGTGCATGGTAATTGTCCAGCTGCCTGTGAGCATCCATAAACATAGTATAACATGTATGTTTTACGAATATTTCTAATAAGATAGAGGAGAATGAGAGAATTTACCTTTGTGTTGTCTTTTATATATATTTAACAAGAATGACAGTTCTCAAATTGTTAAGGCATTTTCAAAGCAATTATTTAAAAGCTTATATTCCCAAGATATCATAAATGGCAAGGTTACTGAAGTCCATTCCACAAAGGTAAAACAGTTATGTATGAGTTGGAATTTTTCTTTCCAGAGAGGGGAATATTTGACTAAACACTCTTAATCAGGAATTAGGCCCAACAATTGAATCCTAGAGTTTATTCAAGATGTAAATCTATAGGCAGCAGTATAGAGCTCTATATAAATATTAATGATCAAGGAGAAATGATAATGCTAATCATTTACATTTTCCAAAGTATATCACTATTTATTACTGTTAGCTTTTAAATCTTACTATGGCCTCAGATGGATCTTATTTAGGTCAGTACATGTGCTAAGGTGTTTAAAAACATTGATATTCTGCCCTGTATATGAGTCAGGAGCATTATTGATATAGGAATAAACTTTGAATAATTGACCTGGCATCTAATACCTCTGTGTCCTTTGGAAAATTACCTAACTTGTCTAAACTTGTCCTAGATGTGTAGAAAAAAAAAAAAACTGGAATAATCTAGACCCTGTCTAGAGTAGTGACTAAGTGGGTTGTAGAATATGACTTCCTGTGTTTTAAAATCAGAATCCTGCCATATTTACTTTGTGGCCTCACACTGCTTACTTCACTTCCCTGTGCCTGTTCCCTTCCCTTAAAAATGCAGGAGTGTGTGTGATCAGAGTTCTGTCGGCAAAGAATTGTTGTGAGAACCAAATGATGCATGGTAGCCATTCATCAGTGCTTGATGTTTACTAAGTGTTCAATAATTATTAGTTAATATTCTGAAGCTAAATTCTTCCTATAATTCTGTCTGCTAAGAAGCAGACAGCTAGCTAAAAGAGATGATAACCCAATTGGTAATGTATAAGCAATTCAAGTACTTTTTTTTAAATGAATGGTGGACTTAAATAACTATTCTAGCCCAATAGCAATTTAAATTCTGGTCTAGTGCTCCAAGCTTCAGTGTTTCATTGCCCTCCACAATAAAATTTCTGAATTTTTAATAGGTATCAGTAACGACTATAGCAGACTATAGACGACACTACACTTCTTAGTCCTATTTTTTTCTCAACTTTTCCCTCAGTATGTAGTAATTATTCACTGATGAGTTATAATAATGCAAATGTTTTTAGAATTTCATAGTCAAATGCTTTGCAGTTTGTAAAGACTTTTACGTCATTTCATTTGCTGTTTTCAAGAAAAATAACCTTTGATATTCTTTAGACTACATTAGAGTGTGTTAGTACTCTATTGGTGCTGTAACAAATTGCCACAAACTTAGTGGCTTACAAAACACATTTTTTTTTTTTTTGGAGTTGGAATCTAACTCTGTCACCCAGGCAGGAGTACAGTGGCACAATCATGGTTCACCACAGTTCAACCTCTTGGGTTCATATGATCCTTCTGCCTCAGCTTCTCAAGTAGCTGGGACTCCAAGAACATGCCACCACACCTGGCTAATAATTTTAAAAATTTTGAGTAGAAATAAGGTCTTGCTGTGTTGCCCAGGCTGGTCTCAACCTCCTGGGCTCAAGCAATCCTCTTGTTTCCACCTCCCAGGCTGCTGGGATTACAGGTGTGAGCCACCGAGCCTGGCTTATAAAAACACAATTTGATCATCTTACAGAACTCTGTAGAAGTCTCACAAGTCTCAACTGAGCTAAAATCAGAGTGACAGCAGGACCACATGCTCTTTTGGAGACACTGGGTAAGAATCCCTTTCCTGCTTTTTTCAGCTTCTTAATCAGCAACTGCAAATCAAAATGAGTCTTCCTCAAATGGCATCAAGGTAACTTTCTATTCTGCCTCCCTGCTTGCAAGAAGTTTAAGAACCATTGTGAGTACATCATTGGCTCCACCTGTGTAACCCAGAATACTGTCTCTAAAGTCAGCTGATGAATAACGTCAATTCCATCTGCTACCTTAAATTCTGCTCTGCCATGTAACCTAACATATTCACAGGTTCCAAGGATGAGAAAATAGACATCTTTGGGAGGCCATTATCATGCCTACCTACCACACAGAGCAGTTAATTTATGTGGAAGCTTCCTTAGAGAAAGAAAGGACAAGAGTATTAGAAAGTAGAAAGTGTTGGCCAGTCGCAGTGGCTCAAGTCTGTAATCCAAGCACTTTGGGAGGCCGAGGCAAGAGGATTGCCTGAGCCCAGAGATTCGAGACCAGCCTGGACACCTTGGTGAGACCTTGTCTCTACAATATATCAAAAAAATTAGCCAGGCATAATAGCACATGCCTGTAGTTCCGGCTACTTGGAAGGCTGAGGTGGAAGGATCACCTGAGCCCAGCAGGTGGACGCTAGGGTGGCTATAAGTGTGCCACTGCACTCCAGCCTGGGTGACAGAGTGAGACTCTGACTCAAAAAAAAAAGAAAAGAAAAAGAAAATGTACTCTGTGATGTATCATGAAAAGTATATTACTTATTCACCTTTGTTGTGATAGTTTCAAGGTATTTCCTACAACTCAAAAATGATCAAGCATGCTGTTGTGGCCTGAATATGTGTGTTCTCCTCAAATTAATATGATGAAACTTGATCATCAGTGATATCAATAATAGTATTAAGGAATAAGAGTCCTTATAAAAGAGATTGAAGGAAGCTAGCTAGCCCTTTCAACTTTTCTGCCAGGTGAAGACACCAAGAAAATGCCATCTATGGGACAAGTGGTCACCAAACACTAAATCTGCTGGTACCATGATCTTGGACTTCCCTCCAGAACTGTGAGAAATAAATTTCTTTTCTTTATAGATTCCCCAGTCTCAGGCATTTTGTTACAGCAGCAGGAATGGACTAAGACATGTGCTTTTTATTCTAAAATAAACATTTAGTTTACACTTCTGAACTTTAAGATATTTTATATATTCACATTTCAAACATTTTATTTAAAAATATCTACAACTTATGATTAATTCATTACTGAATCTTAGAAAACTGTGATTTAAAAAATTATTACTTTTTTTTGAGACAGGATCTCACTCTGTACCCCAGGCTGAATGAAGTGCAGTGGTGTGATTCTGGCTCACTGCAGCCTTGACCTCCCAGACTCAAGCGATTCTCCCAACCCAGCCTCCTGAGTAGCAGGGAATACAGATACACACCACCACACCGGGCTAATTTTTTTGTAGAGATGAGGTCTCACCATGAGGCCAAGCTTGATCTTGAACTCCTGGGTTCTAGTGATTCTCCCACCTCAGCCTCACAAAGTGCTGGGATAACAGGCATGAGCCACCACATCTAGCCAGAAAATTGTGATTTTTAAGATACATATATATTTTATATATGTAGCCATTATAATGGCTATATATGTACAAGTAAGGTTACTCTGATTATAAATATTATAAATATCAATTTTATTTCACTATAAATCTGGTAATCTTTGCTTTCTTGAGGCTCATGAAATAGCAGACCTTAAAAAGAACGTTGATCTATTACACATACCGAAAAATTTTTTTTTTTTTTTTTTTTGAGTTGGAGTCTCACTCTGTCACCCAGACTGGAGTGCAGTGGCCGCTCCCAGCCACCGCAGCCTCGACCTGCTGGGCTCCGGCGATCCTTCCACCTCAGCCTTCCAAGTAGTAGAATTACAAGCATGCGCTACCACGCCCGGCTGATTTTTTGATTTACTGTAGAGATGAGGTCTCGCTGCCCAGGTGGGTCTCGAACCCGCGGGCTCAGGCAATCCACTCACCTCAGCCTCCCAAAGGCACAGGATTACAGGCTGAGCCACACCGAGCCCAGCTCATACTGAAAATTTTTAATCTCACTCAGATTTTATAAGATTCACAAGATTATTTTTAACCTGATCTATACTGCCAGATGAGAGAAGAAAACATCTTGAAATAAACATTGTAAAATAAATAAATTTGGTAATATGTTAAATAAGAAATTCTGAGTAACTTCTAACAGAAAGCAACTCAGGTTAGAAGCTTCTCTTAGAAGTTCTGGGAACTCCTCTTAGAAGTTACTGGGAAAAGTGTGAATATGCAATATGTCATACATTCAATTAATAAAGTAATCCTTACAGAAATGAAGGGAAAACATATTTCCATACCACTGCAGTAGACTGAAACATAGCAGTATGAATTAGCTTTTGAATATAATCTTAATATTCAACTAATAGTTCAAAATACATTTTAAAAAATATGGTACTGTCTTTTTGGAGGACAGTTTGGCAGTAACCTAATCAAATGTTTAAAAACGTGTTTGTTTGGACCCTGAAGTCCCAGATCCTGGTTACAGAGACATTAACAAATGGTGAAATAAGACACAAGGACATTCTATTCCAGTTCTTTTCATAATAGTAAATAATTGGGAAGAAAACTAATCTAATTTAAAAGTTAATAATATGTAGTTAAAATTATAGTTGTAAGCCATACAAAGAAAGAGATAAAATCATATATACTACTGACATGGAAAGATCTCCTCTAATATATTCTTTTTTTTTTTTTTTTAAAGACAGTGTCTTACTCTGTCACTCAAAGACTGAAGTGCAGTGACATGATCATAGTTCAAGCAATCCTCCTGCCCTAACTTCTTGAGTAGCTAGGATTACAGACATGCACTACCATGCCTGGATTTTTTTTTTTTTTTTGAAGTAGGGTCTTGCTATGTTGCCCAGGTTGGTCTTGAACTTAACTGAACCTCCCACCTTGGCTGGGATTATAGGCATGAGCCACCATACCTGGCCTATCTAATATATACTAAGAAAAAAAATAAAGCAAGTTGTAAAATAATGAATTGTTTTCTTTATGTAAATATAAATATTCTTATCTACATAAAAATGTTTGTACATAGATGAGTATTTAAATGTGTATATACATTTATATGCAAATTTATATAATGTATAAATATGTATTCTATGTATAAATGTAATATTTCTATAAAAACACATACACATATATATAAAATATATATATAAACACACACACACACACACACACACACACACACAGTCATCCCTTGGAGGATATTTTTCAGGACCTCCCCACCTCAGGTACCAAAATCCAGGGATGCTCAAGTCCTTTATATAAAATAGCATAGTATTTGCTTATAGCACATGCACATCCCTCCATATACTTTAAATCATCTCTAGCTCACTTATAACACTTAATACAATGTAAATAGTCACTATACTATATTGTTTAGGGCATAATGACCAAAAAAGTTCTGTATATCAGTTCAAACACAATCATCCAATTTTTTCCCAATAATTTGGAATCACAGCTGATTGAATCCACAGATATGGAAGCTACGTATCAGAGAGTTGCCATGTACACAAATATAAATGTATATATAAATGCATTAAGATTTTAGACTAAACTGTTAGCATTGAGTTCTCTGAAGAGATAACAGAACTGGGTGTGGGTGCAGGAAAGAGTGCTGCTGAAGGGGCACTGTCCCTTTTTATTCCATATGCTTCTAAGAGTCTGAATATTTTTTATAATGACAAAGTAGAGATGTTTTTCTTATAAATAAAATTTTTAAATAATTATATAAAGATAGATTAATAACACTCAACGTCTAACATTGTAGATATTTCAACTTTTTGTCTGCTATATATAAATACTTAACAGAGTGTTGGTATTTCATTTGTATCAATGATGAAACAAACATTTGTGTTCCTATTTATTATTTATAAAAATAGCTGCCATTCACTGAGTACATCCCCTTTGAGCTAACGTTTTTACATGCCTTAAATCTACAAGTCTATGTGGTGAAAGCAGTTATAATCTCCACTTAACAGATATGAAATCTGAGGCTTAGATTTCTCAGGTCACATTCAGTATGTGGCAGAGCGCAGGTCTAAAAGTCTATGCTTGTAAATATTTAAGTGTTAATATTAATCACTAACATTTGTTTTAAAAGGTAACATATAGAACTATTTTTTGCATATTATTTGATGATAAATAGCTTTGTAAAGCAGCATTTACCATCATCTTAATCTGGATGGGAAAAATCTAGAAGTGACTTGCTCTAAATCACACGTATGTAAGTGAACTAGAGCACAAATTTTCTGACTTTGAATGCTAGGACCTTTCCAATTTCTACCAAGGAATCACAATTTAAGAGAGATCTTGAGAACATAGAAACCATCTTGAGGCATGCAGCCAAAATATTTAAAGAAAACATCATGTAGAGATACAAACAGAAAAACAGGATATACACATTAGCACAAGGGAAGGATTGGCAATCACTAGGCACTGCCAAGGGGCGGGGGGGGCATGTAACAACACAATTGGTGCCTAGTCCCAAACCAGGGGAAGTGAAGACCCATTGTAGGCCCAAATTTAACCTGCATGTAGCCCACTTGTGTAATTAATCCTGGCTTGTACCTTATATCTCTATAATAAAATAAAATTGAAAAAAAATAGAAAGACAGGATACAGATGCTTTTTGACTTAATGATGGGTTATATCTTGATAAACCCATAATAAATTGAAAATATCATAAATTAAAAATGCATTTATGTATTTCTGTTTATTTATTTACTTACTTACTTAGAGTCAGGGTGTTACACTGTCACCCAGGCTGGAGTGCAGTGGCACAATCATGGCTCACAAGAGCCTAAACCTCTTAGGCTCAGGGCATCCTTCCATCTCAGTCTTCCAAGTAGCTGAGACTACAGGTGTGTGACACCTGGCTAGTTTTTTCCCCGAGACAAGATCTTGCTATGTTGCCTAGGCTGAAAATGGATTTAACATACCTAAGCTACCAAAGATCATAGCCTAGCCTTCCTTAAATGTGTTCAGGACACATATATTAGCCTACAGTTGGGCAAATTCATCCAACACAAAGCCTATTCTATAATGAAGTTTAGAATTTCTCATGTAATTTATTGACTATTATCCTGAAAGTGAAAAAAGGAACGTACTTGAAATACAGTTTCTACTTAATATGTATTGCTTTTGCATCATAATAAAAATGAGAAACTGTAGGTCAAATCATTAAGTTGGAGACCATCTTCAAAAACCTAAAATATTATGTGGGAACTAGACTTAATTCTATTTGACTTTAAATTAAAGAACAGAACAGAGTCAGAGGGGAAAAAATACAGGAAAACAGATATCATATCTTTATAAAGAAAACTTTTTAACAATTAGAACGTCTCTAAAATGGAAAGAGTTTCCTCATGAGGTGGTAACCTTCTCATTGGAAGATAAAGGGACTGGATAACTACTCTGAGATTCTATAGAGAATATTCACATAGAAGGTTGAACTAGATGAGCTCCAAGTTTCCCTGTAAGATTCCACAACTTGAAGATTTTGTTAGAAATTCTCTTTTTCAACTATCCTTTACCATCTTCACCCAAAGCAAAGTGGTAAACAATAGGAAATTAATTTTTCCAATATTATATATTATACCATTATTAGACACATAATCTTTTTTTTTTTTTTTTAAGTTGGAGTCTTACTCCAACACCCAGGCTGGAGTGCAGTGCCATGGTCAGGGCTCACCACAGCCTTGACCTCCTGGGCTCAGGCAATCCTACTACCCCAGCCTCTCAAGTAGCTGGGAATACAGATATGTACCACCACACCAGGCTATTTTTATTTATTTTTTATTTTGCAGAGACAAGGTCTTTTTATGTTGCCTAGGCTGGTCTTGAACTTCTGGCTCGAGCAAGCCTCCTGCCTCGGCTTCCCAAAGTGCTGAGATTATAGGCATGAGCCACCGTACTTGGCCTAGAATCATAATCTTACCCATACTCCCTTCAGTATACATATTCACCTTCCACTCATCTGATGGCATTAGTTGAAAGCAGACTTTGGATATGCTGGTTTTGGTCATGGTGATGTATTTGGTACCCTTTAGTGTATCACGTGTTGCTTCCTTACCTGTAGAACCGCCTCCCTGGTAAGCCAAGGGGATCAATGAATGCTCTTTCCAGAAACATCAGTTGGTCATTCATGATTCTCACTGCAATGGGACTTTGAGAACAAGATACACATAATTACAAACCTTATCACAGAATCATGTTTTAAAATTATATTAAATAAAAGCAAGGCACGGGAAAATAAACTTCTAAAATCAATATTCTTTTTTTTTTTTTTTTTTTTTGAGTTGGAGTCTCACTCTGTCACCCAGACTGGAGGGCAGTGGCTGCTCCCAGCCACCACAGCCTCGACCTGCTGGGCTCCAGAGATCCTTCCGCCTCAGCCTTCCAAGTAGCTGGGATTACAGGCATGTGCTACCAGGCCCGGCTGATTTTTTGATTTATTGTAGAGATGTCTTGCTGCCCAGGCAGGTCTCGAACCCGCGGGCTCAGGCAATCCACTCACCTCAGCCTCCCAAAGGCACGGGATTACAGGCTGAGCCACCAAGCCCGGCTAAAATCAATATTCTTAACAAAATGCATATTAACACAGTAATGCTTTTTATGGTAAGCTACATATAACAATAGCAGAGTCACCCTTCTAATCTGTAATAAGCAGAGAGACCTACTGAGAAATGGTTTGCTTTATTTTTGTCGTCCATAGGGTGATAAAGAACTGAAAGACATTCTTTACTCTTTCTAAGAAGATAACCAGGCCTCCTAGAAAGGGAGACAGTGAACTATCAAGTTGTTCTGGTAAGTCACTCAGTTCTGCTTTGGAGGAAAGGAACAGACAAAGGCTGGACAATAAAGAGTGAAGTTTTTAAGAATCTGTAGGAAGGCAGGAGACAGCTGCACACAGTAGGGAATCTTTGCCTTTCACACTCAGACTTTCTCTGGGTAGCTGAATAACTCCTAGGGTTCTCCTACAATCTGAGAAAGAGAGTCAAAATGACTGACAGAGACTGATAGATCTCTCAAAGTAACTGCTAATATAAGAAGTGGGAAAGCTTATTCTGATTAAGTCTGAAAAAATAAATATGACATGTACTACATTGTGGAGCAATTTATGCTTGTTACATAATGTTATACTTTGAAAACAATCTTTGAATTTTTTTCAACCTAAATGCAGCAGGAAGCTAAATGAAATGCAAACAAGTACCAATGAAAAAAGATTTTCTAACTGGTACACTGAAGTACTGGACAAAAGAATGTAGTGAAATATATTACAAATGCACTTAAACCTAAGGAGCTATGAATTTCCAGCTACAGTCAGAATTCTCGTCATGCAAAATCCTAAAGACATGTCTCTTTGGCCCTTGCCTTGGGATAAAATTTTAGTCTGCCATTCAGCGCAGTGGTCCTCAAACTTTAATGCTAGTATAAAATCGTCTGAAGGGGTCTTTTAACAAGTATGTCAGTATGTATTGGGTGAGGTCTTCTATTCAGTCTTTCCAAGCAGATGCTGCTGCTACTGGTTTGCAAACCATAATTGGAATAGCAATGATTTAGAGCTGAACGCTAGTCTGAATAAGAACAGTTCATTCCAAAAAAGAAGATTGCTTTTCAAAAACAGTAGGCATCTGAAACTTACTTATTAAGATCAACCTGTGCAAGTCTTCTATGAAAATCTGAAGCAGCCTCTGAGAAGTTGTTCACAGCAGAAAATAAGGAGTCTTTAAAAAAAAAACAAAAACAGAGAAGTAGAAGAGAAATTAGTAAGCACAGATGCTTCATATTTCAAAGGTTTACTTTCCTGTCTTCCCCATTCCAGATTGATATGACCAAATAGAAACCATTATTCTGTTGAGCCTTCTTGCAGATCCACAGAAAGTATTAGATCATATCATAACAAAGAAATATTGTATGAATATAAAAATGGCTAAATGGGTACTTAAGGAAACAGCTTTTAAAAGTCTAGAATATAAATAATTAACACATGGTTTACCAGAATCTCAGCATCAATATATTTATTCATTCAATACATATTTATTGGGACAACTATTATATGCTAGCTGTCAGAGTCCAGCTCCAACACAAAGGTCAGGGCCTAAGGCGAGAGAATCAGACGCGGCGAAGGAAGAAGACACAAGTCAACTCCCTGGGTCTAGTTCGGGACTCTTCCAAAGTTTATTCAATTTTCACATGTTTATATAAGGCATTTTCAACCCTCAACCCCCTCACACATATGCCCACAAAAGCTTACATTATGTTTTACAATCAAATGTTCTACAATGATTTATTTGTTCCACCCTATTCTTTTTTTGTTTCCATTATGTTAAAACCAACAGACAGGAATGAAACAATTTTTGCTAAAAATAATTAATTGTAACTTTCAACCCTTACCCCCTTTTATATCATATTTCTAACAATTCTTACATGTAACTTAACAGCAATATATTGGCATTTTACATCTATAACTAATTTTATTGTTTCTTATAACTAATTTTATTATTTCTTAATTATTTCCTATAAACTTTCCTATTATGTATCTATCTTTATTCTTATTTTACTTATATGAATCATAATCTAATAATGCTTAACAACCTTTATATGAATTATGCTTGACTACTCATATTCTATATTTTTCTGTTTAATTATTTTTTATTTAATTATCTTTAATCATCATCCTATTTTTATCTACTTAACTATTCTCGCCTATATTATTATACTTATACTACTAGATCATTTTACTCTTACAAACTTATATCTATTATGTCTATACTTTCCTGAATTATGTTTAAAAGCAGCTGCCCTCAGGATTGACTTGTCTCAGGTCTCACAAACTTCCTCCTCCATCTTACCCGTCTAAGGTGTTATTTTAGTTTAGGGTCTGTTAACCATTAAAAATAAAGAATGGGAAAGATCTTTTATTTTCTTTATACACAATGGTTTTGCTTTTTATGGAGACGAAGGTAACTAAAGATTCTCTAGCGTCTCTAATGGCTGTGCTTTTGCTGTGTTCCTTATTCATGTCTCAAGCTTCAGTTTCACCAATACATCATCCTCGCTTATAAGTTAATGCTTCATCAGAAAGGGGTACTTTCTGTCTTATGCACACACTCCCAAAGATCAAAGGGGGCCCATCAATGGGATCCAAGGGGCTTTGCCTCTGGCACGGCTTTAGCTGGGGCCTTGCTCCCAGCCAGCGTTTTTCCCATTTTCAGGTAGCCCTTACTTTGCCTTCTGTTAGGAGTTGCGGCTCCCAACAGCTAGCCACAGGATACAACTACAAATAAGTTATGATTCTGCAATTACTACGGGGTAAAACAATACCAATTCTTGTTTACAAACAGTGCATTTAAAATCTTGTTCAAAAGACAACCTGTGACAAACTGTGAGGAAGACAAGCTCTGGTCTGGTAAAAGCTTTCTTTAGTTCACAATGTTTATAAGGAAAGTGATTAGGTTCTCAGTATGGTCGTCCATAGGTATCCCATGGAGGATTGGTTCCAAGATCCCCTGTGAATACCAAAATCTGTGATGCTCAAGTCACTTATATAAAGTGTAGTAGTTGCCTAGAACCTACACACATCCTCCCTTATACTTTAAATTATCTCTAGGTTGTTTATAATACCTAATACAATGCCCATACATCACTTCATTTGTGTGGATTCAACGTAGTACTCAGCACATTGCAAATTCAAGTTTTGCTTTTTGGAATGAATTTTTTTCTGAATATTTCTGATTAGTAATTGGTTGAATACACGGATGCAAAACCCATAGATATAGGTTCAACTATATATTATATCTTTATTATAACAACTTACGTATTATTTTCCATATTTTCTAAACAGATCTTTAACATACATTATTGATCTGTTGCTTGCATTGATCCTGTGACATACACAAAGCAGAAGATCCATATTTGCTTTACAGATAAAGCATTTACAGCTCAGGATTTCTATTATGTCACATAGCTAGTAAGTGGTATATTCAGTATAAAAAAACAGTCTTTTAGTCCAAGATTTTCCTTAAGCTTTAATTGTTTTTAAAACATGTTCAAACCAGAATAATCTAATAACAGTTGTAATGGAAGTGAAGAGAAGAGAATGCTGAAGATGGAATTTTTTTACTCTTTATTTTATTTTAAAGATGTGGGGTACGAGTCAGGATTAGGTACATAAGTGGTCTACGTACAAGTGGAAGATGAAATTTTAACGTTCAAATGCAGTATAGAAGTCAAGATAGATAAGAACAAAATGTGTCTCTGGGATTTAGTGAAACAGATAAATGACAGCTTTAGCAAGAGCAGATTCACTAGAACAGTAGAGACATGAGACAGCACAGTAGACTGGTTAGTTGGAGATAAAGAACAATAAACAATAAGTGTAGACTATATATTATTCATTTATCAACCATACCTTCATTTCTTCATTAATTCATTTTCTCAGGAAACATTTTTGCCTGGCACTAAATGAAGAATTTTGATTGTGAAGGAAGTGGGGCACATCAGGTAGAAGAAATGTTGTTAAGATAGAAAAGCTATAAGAATATTTAATCTGATGCATAGCCACCCATGGTAATGGAGATTTTTTAAATATGGCAGAGAAAGACATTACAGATTGAACCCAGCATTTAGGAAGGTAAGCGGGTACAGGAATTAACCTATGAAAAAGAAAAACTGGGTAGTTTTTACCTCTTGATTGGACCCCGACTTATACAAACTGAAAAAAGGTAACTGACCAAAAGGAAATCATTTGGGAAGATGCTGGTTAGCCATGGAACTACCAATTCCATTTTGCTGTAGACTCTGCTTATTTCTCCAGTTTAATCTCTTTTCATTTTCCCCATCACTGCAGAGATACTCCAATCATATTGATATAAACACAATTTTGTACATTTACTTTTCTTCATTTTTAGTACCTACTATTATTTGTAACTTAATAAATATTACTGATCCCTTATTTATTATTATAATAATGTTCAGATGTCATTACCTTTATGTAGTAATGTTCAGATGTCATTACTAACCATCCCACACCCATTCTCTGTGTACTTATAGTACTCTCCATGTTCTATGTAACCCCATAATAACTCTTCCTTTATATCTTACCATCTCCTTCCTGACATGAAACTTTAAGCTCACTCAGGACTAGGACTAACTCTTATGTATCTTGATAGCTCCCAGGAAATAACATAGTACTTGGTACATAGTAGACAGTACCTATTTGATAATTTCAGTAAATACTAAGAATATGTGCTCCCAGACCAATAAAAGAAAATGATTATAATAAAACAATAATAATAGGTAATATATATTGAGCACTAACTGCCCTCCACCACTGCCTCTCTATATAACCTAACTGAATTTCCTTAACAATCTATTATATTATATTAGATTCTTTCTGTTATATTCTTTCTTTACTATTTCACTCATATGAAAACTGACACATAGAGAAGTTAAGTAACTGTCCCAAGATCAGAGTGGCTAAATGGCAAACCATGTCCAAACCCAATCCTCAAAATTACTACACTGCATTGTATTATTATATTTCATCCTACTTCATGGGGGATGCACAGCGTAGAACAGCAGCCACTGAATGGCCAGTTATAGAAAGAATGCTTATAATTATGTAAATTTTTTCATGCTTATAAGCACTAAGAGTTATATGCAGTACTAATAATGAAAATTTACATGTAATGAAATTTGTGGTTTTCTCTATTTTTCAACCTTTTCATAATAGTGTTGAATTTTTTCTAATATTGTTCCCATAACAGCAAAAATGTGCTTAAACACATTTAATATAGAAAAATGATTTACCATCCCAGTGTTTGTAGCAATAACAACTATAATAGATCCATCCTACATATATCAAATTAAATCCAATTGTTTAATAAGTGTTTGTTTAAAGATTCTGTCTAGAAGTCATAATGAGAAGGTGAGACAGAGATTTTTCTAGGATGAAACAATATGCATGGATCATAATAGCTCTTAAAACTCTACCTTTAAAAAAAAGCTCTATCTTAAGGAGGATAAGATATCTGCCCAACTATTTCTTACCAAATGATACTCCATGGTCTCTCATTTGTTGGTCATGTTTCTTGGATAAATTATAGATACTTGTTGCATAGTTTTTCAAGGCTTTTGCATAGTCTTGAATATTAAAAGGAATGATTTTAGAGTCCGCAAGTTCATATACCAGTGATCCTCGTAACTGAGCCACTGAAAGTTGTTTGGTAAATGTGGGATCATAAAATTTCTCTACCAATTCAAATGTCTCATAAATTGTGTGGTATACTGGATAGCTGCTGTACTTCTCTGTTTTCTAAAAAAAAATGGAATGGGAAAATATAAACAGTCATTAACGAACACTCAATATTCAAATTATTTTATGTAATCAAACAAATAACTATAGAAAAATACAACCACGTAACACCCTGAGTTTTATAATAATGAATCACAAACTAAGTTAAAATCTAATTGGCTAAAATACCATAACCAAATATTTACCACTTCATCATTATAACTTATATAACCTTCATTCAAAATGCTGCACCTTGAAAATTTGCCATATTGTACTTTTTGGTAACTAAAATTAGGGGATACCTATTCAAATTGTATCTCAGCACAGTTCAAAATTATCTATCAATTGATTGGTAATAAAAGGTTCTCGGCAACTAAGTATTTATATAGTTGAAGGATGATATATTTAAGTACCTTCCCTTCCTTCCCAAGTAGTGTATTACCAAATACCATTAAACCTTTATTACATAATCAAGGGCTGCCATTATGAACATACATTATTATATAGAAGTATCCTGTGTAAATGTTTTTTAAATTCTTAGGTCCACCTATTTTCATTTTTACTGTCTGCTACCTTGTTGTAGGACTATCATTCTTACTGCTTTTAGTATGACCGAAAAGCAATTCCTGTGTCGGTCCCTCTCCTTCAATCTAATTGTCTGTTTCTAATCTACAGAGGTCTTAGAAAGTTTGCTCAAATTGATGAGAGTATAAAGGTAAAGAGGCCTTGAAAAAGAGTTAAAACACATCTTTTATGTATTAAGTGTAATGAATGTTAGTATACCGAGTTTATTCATCTATTGGGATCATTCTGGAGTTGTTTCTGTTTCTTTGTTGTATTCTGAATAGCATTTGTAACATTTGCAAATGATATATGTATTACGGACAATCAAGATGTAAGTGTATTATAGTTATGATATAAAAGTTGATTAAAATCTGTGACAAATCTGTATCTACTAATGTAGTTTGGCTTATAAAATAATGTATAGCATTGACAAGCAAACATGTTATATGTTGGATATACCCAAGTACTTGCATTATCATCAGGATGTTTGTGTGACAATAGTGTAAACCAGTCACTGTAGAACAGAAAAGAGGATCTAATTAAAAAGAGAAACCAAGCCGGGCTCGGTGGTTCAGCCTGTAATCCCGCACCTTTGAGAGGCTGAGGTGAGTGGATTGCCTGAGTCCGCGGGTTCGAGACCTGCCTGTGCAGCGAGACCTCATCTCTACAATAAATCAAAAAATCAGCTGGGCATGGTAGCACATGCCTGTAATCCTGGCTACTTGGAAGGCTGAGGCGGAAGGATCACCGGAGCCCAGCAGGTCAAGGCTGCAGTGGCCAGGAGCGGCCATTGCATTCCAGTCTGGGCGACAGAGTGAGACTCCAACTCAAAAAAAAACAAAAAGAGAAACCTGCTGCATTCCCTAAACAAGAGCCTTGACCTGATGACAGGCATGAGTGGGAATTTGAAGAGGGACTACTGATAATAATGAATCTTAGCCTAGTGTTAGTCTTAGCCAAATTGTGTCCTCAGGAAAAGCACATCAGAGCCTGCAAGACAAGGTTAGAGAAAGACATTTTTTCCCAACAAATCCTACATGAGAAAAAGGATGTGAATTACTTAGTACTGATAACCAGCTAAGTATCTGGCATTACCCTGTAAACTTCCCTTTTGTGGAATAAACCTGGTAATGATATATTCACAAAATTACTCAAATTACTTCCCAGTCCATCTAAAAGGGACGTGTAGTCTGTCTCTATCTCTCGAACTCTTCCCGGTCCACATGTCCACCAGGTGCCTGATGCCACACAACTTGATGAGAGAGTTCCTCACCAAAGGGATGTTAATGAAATGCTATCTATTCAAAATGACAAAATGGTGTACCTTATTCTTAGTGTAGCGAGCTCTGCCAGAAGCAATTCCAAGTCTTTGAAAATAAGCTTCAAAATCACTTCCAGATCCCAATTTATTGATTCTAGACGTAGCATATAATACACACACAAACACATAAATAAGTACATGTCACAAAGTTAAATAGATGGGACAATGAATTTTTGTCTCAAGATAGAAAGGAACTATGTGGTAAATTTACAGGAATTTAAAAAAAGATTAACTACCCTCAAGATGCTTTCCTATAATCTGTTGGAAAATTGCAAGATAATCCTATAGATCAACATTGAATACTAGAATTGGGCAGGCAGTGCTACCAAAGATGCAACCTAACGGTGATGCTCTCTTCTATATTTTCAGCACTTATGGTTTTGCTTAGAGGGGAAAACAACGAAGACATGGGCCCTACCCTCAGAGAATTGTCATCTAGTGAGAAAATTGCCATGAAATCTATATTTTAAAGATCATTAAGAATGTGGCTTATTTCATTTCAGAAATTAATTACAATATATTTCTGATATTTCTTTGCATATAATTAAGAAGCCTATCTATCTACCTATCACACATATATATGTATATAAAATGTAATGGCGTGAACATTTTTGTGACATAATGGTAAGTTAGTAAAGCAGTATAAAGTTACAAATGCATTATAAGCATAACTATATTTTCAAACTATTAGATTATTAGATGTGTTTTTGAGATTAAGACTGCTGATATTTTTAAAATCTCTTTGGTATTCTACTATTTTTGTTGAATTAGCATGTGAAACTTTTATACTGGAAAACATGTAAACTTTTGCAAGACTGATATAGAATATAAAACAAAGCTATAAACGGCTGCCATCTGGTTGAGTATCCCCTACCAGAAATGCCTGGGCCAGATGTGCTTAGGGTTCTGGATTTAGGATATTTTCATGCACATAATGAAATATGTTAGGGATGAAAGCCAAATCTAAACATGACTTATGTTTCATATACACCTTATACACATAGCCTGCATATACAGCATTTTAAATAATTTTGTGAACGAAACAAAGTCTGTGTTAAGTGCTATACATGTGGAATTTTCCACTTTTAGCGTCATGGTGGTGGTCAAAAAGTTTCGGATTTTGGAGCATTTCAGATTTCAGATGTTCAGATCAGATGCTCAGCTTGTGTCAGAAATAGCATCACAGTAGAAAACAATTATTTACTTCTTAAGGCATAATGTCAAATTTTAAAAAGAAAATAAATATAAAATGATTTCAAGGATGCTGCTGTAGCATGAATCAGAAGAGATAAAATATATATTAATTTTTATGTAAAATTTAAATTATGTACAAGTAAAGACACAATTTGGAGGTTATTGATAATACCCCTTAATAAATTTAGAAGCAGACCAGGCATGGTGACTCGCAACTGTAATTCCACTAATTACAGTAATTCTCCCTTTGGGAGATTGCTTGAGCCCAGGAGTTTGAGATCAGCCTGGGCAATATAGTGACCTCGTCTCTACAAAAAAAAAAAATTTTTTTTAATTAGCTGTGCATGGTGCTGTGCACTTATAGTCCTAGCTACTCAGGAGGCTGAGGCAAGAGGATCACTTAAGCCAGAAATTTGAAGCTGTAGTAAGTTGTGATTGTGTCACTGCACTCCAGCCTGGGTGGTGGAGTAAGACCCGAACTCAAATAAATAAATAAATTTAGAAGCAAATAATCCATCATTTGTTTTTTTACTTCATCTTGATCATCTGAAGTTAGATTATTTATTAATGCATCTAATACACACCTAAGTGTAATATAGGCAAGAATGCCAAATAATGGCCAATAGAGTAGCAAAATCATTTGGACTAAAATTTTGCAAAACTACATCTATCTGTGCTCTGCTATGGGCTAAATACTTCACTGTGCTGCGTTAAGCTCAAAACAAAGGCAAGTAGGAGGACTTCTTTATTATCTTTTCTTGATTCAAACTGTCCATGAGACATCTGAGAATTTCATGTTTTGGAGAAACAAGGGATAAAGGTGAATTCATAATTTATCCCATGATAGAAAAGATGCATACAAGTAACTTACCTAGGAGAATTTTTATCTTTAGGAGAAGGGTCTTTTTCCAACCAACTTTCATAAAGTGATTTACTCTCAAAACCATCATCAGGGCTGGGAATCTAGGAACATAAATCAAATACCGGGAATTAAGGGCAGAAACAATTACATTTATGCCAAAATAAAACCACATATTAGTTGTCATCAACTTCTACTTCTAACTATAAGTACATATATCTAGCATGTCCATTTGCAGAAAAAATATCTTTTTGAAAATGGCAAGAAATAAATCTAGCCCAAATTCTTGTTGATTTCCCTCTTTAAATCTTAGCTTTCTCACCTGAGAAAATAGGGATAGTGGTGCCTATCTTAATCCAAATATACTCTCCTCTGATACTTTCTCTGGCCTTTATAAACAGAGTTGGTTATTCCCATCTATTTGCCACTATTCATAAAAATATTTCTACAGATTAAAGTTTACTGAGTGTTGAACTCAGAGTATAGATGGGGAAAAAAAGATATAGTTTCTACCCTCTTGGACCTCACAATTGAGTCTAATTGGGGATACAAACACCAAACAAATAAACATGTAATACAAAATTATGATAAGCTATTCAAAAGAAAAAAGTGTTATAAAGAGATGGATGGGACATGGCAGACAGATGTTTCCCCAGAAACAGTCTTTTTGAGAAAATAGCAATAAGATTTAGGAGCATCTAGTAAAGACACTGGGTATTGGCATGTGTTTTGAGCATTTTCCCTGTTTCAGTCTCACCCCATTACTCCAGATTCACAAAGTCTTGTGTTTACTGACTACACAGGCCCTCACCCTCATCAGCTTTCAAGTAGAAGCTGCCTCCTCCTAGAGTAGTGGCAGGGATTGGAGGCAGTCATTTGTGGCTTAGTATGGATGAGATGGCACCGCGCCACCTTATACGCAGTCCTCGCTTAGAAACAGTCTGGGCACCACAGAGACCGCCCCTCCTCTAACCAGCATGTTGCAGCTGCAGGGCTGGTCCACGTATTTTCCCCAGCTGCCTGGGTTCTCTCTACTCTGCTCCTGCCCATTTGCAGATAGCTGAGAGAGATTCTGCTCCAGTTCCTACATCCTGCTGAGACCGCATTCCCACCAAAATCTTTCCATCTTCCAGAATCATACCATCTCAGTCTAGTGCTAACCAGAACTGTGTCCCTTTGGCCTGTACAATCCAGACCCATCTTTTAGTTTTTGTCTTAAGAGATGGGTCTCACTATGCCTTGAACTCCCGGGCTCAGACGACCCTACTGCCTCTGCCTCCCAAGTAGCTGGGACTACAGGCCCATGCCACCTCACCCAACCAGATCAGGCTCAACTGCCTCAGCCATTAAGAACAATTTATCATGGTCAGAATTGATAGCCTTCCTCTGATTTATCAACACTGTGTCTCTTTTCTTGCTCCATCAGGCAGCTGTTCTCTTTAAGCTCAGCCTTTTCTCTCACCCCTGTCCTATCCTCATGGAACAGTATGGTTTGACTATTTATGCTAACACGTATACAGGTTGAAAAAATTGAAACAGTAAGTTTACAGGAGACTAAAAGAAACTTCTCCTTTCTTTACTGCATCTTGGTATGGCCATTGTAAGCATTCACCTTTGTACAAAGTGACGTAGACACAAATCTCTCCCTTGTAGGCCCCAAATTCTTATTGCTGACATCAAAGGCAGGAGTCATCTCTCTAGGACAGCATAAATCATAAATTCCTTTCCTGAAAAGAGTTCTCCCACTTAGGATTTTCTTTACAGCTTGCTTTTAGATATGATCCTTTAATGGGACATTCTAAAGAAAGGATCGAGGACCTCAGCTACCCAAGATGGTGAGAGACTTGTGATAAGGATAGTGAGAGAACTCTCATTTGGGAAAACTAGTATGTATGTATGTATGTATGTATGCATGTATATATGTATGTGTGCATGTATATATTGAGTCAGAGTCTCACTGTTGCCCAAGTTGGAGTACAGTGGCGTAATACTGGCACAATCCTGGCTCACTGCTGCCTTGACCTCTTGGGCTCAAGTGACCTTCCTGTTTCAGTCTCCCAAGTAGCTGGGACTACAGGCATGCACCACCAAACTCAGCTAATTATTATTATTTTTTGTACTTTTTGTAAAGATGTCTCATTAAGTTGCCTAGGCTGGCCTCAAATTTCTGGGCTCAAGTGACTCTCCCACCTTGGCTTCCAAAAATGTTGGGATTACAGGCATGAGCTACTGTGTCCAGTCATGGGAGAACTAGTTGTTTAAAGATACTTAAAGTACACAGGCAGGCACAAGATTAAGGGAGATTAAGAAATAGTACCTTGAGAAAAGTGATGCCTACTCCACATTGTTATCTAAGGCTGACCTTGAAGCAAACATTTCTACAAATAAATTCTACAGCAGAAACCTATTTAAATGATGTATACAGATATTAATTGAGTCAGATGGTTTTAGCTTTCACAGTATTTTTTAACATCTATAACTCATTTAAAAGTTATAAAATTCCTATATGATTAGCAAGCATGCAGAATTATTTCCATTTTGCCTTTAGGCTTTCAACTGCTTCATCTATTCACTACACTAACATATAATAATGAACAACCTTGCTAGAAATTCTTTAACAATTTCTCCATCACCAGATTTCTGAACTCCTTGGCCTATTTGTTATGCCCCATTTCTTACCATCTTTCTAGTCACATCCTTTGCTTAGGTCATACTAAGCTACCTATAGGTCAGGAGATATGTTCTTTCATGCTTCCACATCTTTTTTTTTTTTTGAGTTGGAGTCTCACTCTGTCACACACACTGAAGTGCAGTGGCACACTCCCAGCCACTGCAGCCTCGACCTGCTGGGCTCCAGCAATCCTTCCGCCTCAGCCCACATCTTTTTTATATACTGTGTCTTCTGCTTAGAATGCCCTCACTGGCCTGGCTTTGTGGCTCATGCCCATAATACTAGCACTTTGGAGAACCAAGGAGGGAGGATTGCTTGAGGTCAGGAGTTTGGAATCAGCCTGGGCAACACAGTAAGACCCAGTCTTTACCAAAAAAAAAAAAAAAAAAAAAAAGGTTGAGCATGGTGACATGCACACCTGTAGTCCTAGCTACTCAAGCAGGAGGCTGAGGTGGGATGATCACTGGAGCCCAGTCTGCAGTGAGTATGATCTTACCATTTGTAGCCTAGGCAACAGAGCAAGACCCTATCCCTAAAAACTAAAAATAATGCCTTCTCCCTTACTCCTACATACTTTCATTTGGCAGTCCAAACATTAATTATTCTGTAAATATCCTCTTATGCTTTTCAAATACCTCCAGCTACTCCAGGATTTTATATTATTCTGTAACTGTTCTCCATTGTATATAATATCACATACCCTAGTGAACTATAATTCTTCATTAGTAGTCTGTGTTCTAGATTACGAAGTCTTTGAATTCAGTGACCTTATCTTTTACCACTGTTGCTACTAGATTTCATTTTACAGGGCCTGACACACAGTAACTATTCAGTGACTATTTGTTGAATGAATGAATGAGTAGCTAAGGCAGATTTTGAATTACAGACTCTTCTATTAAAGCTTAGTGTTCTTTCTGCCATATCAAAATGCCTCTGTCAGATAAATATTACATGTGCTATATATTTCAACTATGTACATAATTTTTCTTTTTCTTTCTTTTTTTTTTTTTTTTTTTGAGTCAGAGTCTCACTCTGTCACCCCAGCAGGAATGTAGTGGCACAATCACAGCCAGAGCAGCCTTGACCTGCCAGGTTCAGGAAATCCTTCCACCTCAGTCTTCCAAGTAGCTGGGACTATAGGCGCACACCACCACGCCCAGCTAATTTTTTGATTTACTGTAAGGATGAGGTATTGCCATGATGCCCAGGCTGAGCTCAGGGAATCCTCTCACCTCGGCCACCCAAAATGCTGGGATTAAAGGCATGAACCACCATGCCTGGCCTATATCATTATTAATAAGAAGTTTTATTAGAACAAAGAGATGAGTGATATTATCTTTATAGTTACATCATAAGTAAATAACTACAGATTTTGTTTTGACTTGTTATTTATATGAGTCAACTATGTTTTCACCAGTTTAAAAATAAGTACCACTGATTTTTGGAGAAAAACAGTGTTAATAATTTATCCATTCATCAGAAAAAATATTAAGATAGATCTCCTTAATATACCTCCTTTGTCAGTTTATACACCAGTTGGTAAAGAAGGGGTGTACAGTCAACTCTGAGAGTAAAATTGCCTAAAAAATAAATAAGACACAAAAGAGTATTATTTCACACTTCCAGATAAAATTCCATTTATATTTCATTCTAACTCTATTTACTAATTTTAAACAAGATATAATGGTCTTCAAATCAAAGACATCATTCTCATGGAATAAAATAGGGTGGGAATAGTTCTTCAGGAGTGAGAGACTGCAGCATATATTTTGAACAGAGGAAGGTCAAGGTGGACTTTAGTTGCTACGGCAGCAATCATAAGGGTCGGCCTTATGACAGCATATCATAGGAGAACTTTGGCAAAGAAGGTGGTATGGCTATAGCAGTCACCTTTATTTTTTTCATTCCATTCTATAGTACATATCAAGACATTAAATAAGAACATGTCAGTAACTCAGAAGTATCTGCTGATATTTTCTAGAAATAATCAAGATACAATGAAAGAAACAAATCTCACATATCAGATTCAAAAGGAAGTTTGTAGTTTGTACTTACCTCAAATTTGTCACAGTAAATATGAAATAATTCTGCATGAAATATTCTACAGAATATTTCTTTTACAATGTTTTAGCCAAGTTTTTTTTTATTATCTCCATAGAAAAAGAATTATGGTTAACACTAGAGTTTTAAGTAATAATCTAATTTAGGCAAATGGTAAATATACCACAGAAATGAGGAGCAATAACTTGGATATGAATCATATTGAATTATATAAATCATAATTATTTTTTCAGTGGTTAAGTGAAAAATGAAGATATTACTGAGGCATCTCATAGCAGGAGGATATCTTAGGTGGTTAACAAGCTGGAATGTATAGGCTTAAAGGATGGTATACTGCTCAACAATAAATAAAATTTGCTTGAAATAAAATTTACTTTCTTAAAATTTTACTTCAAATTGAAATAATATGTACCTTCTATAGATGAATCTGAGTTGATATAAGCAATACTTCTCTCCTGGAGTATTTTTGCATTCTCCTATAGTCGAAAGTTGAAAGAAAATTGTTACTTAATTCAGTATTTTCAATTGTGAAAATATAAACAAAATCAGCAAATTAATTTTGTGGCAAAGTGATTCAATACCTTTATGAATCAAATACCATGCCTGCCTGTGGCCATAATTGCTAAGAAAATGCTGATAACTGATTGGTTGACAACAACACAAACGCAATTCATATAAGAAAAAGGAATACTATGAAGCAATAGCTGCTGTTTATAGCAACAGCAGAGAGGCCTGAAGAAAAAACTATTTTCAAAGTTTGGCTCCTTGATTCCCTCCCCCAACTCTACCTAATTCAAATCGCTGACAGACCTGGAAATTTGTGTTTTCTAACAGGGATGCCTGGCAATTCTTTCACTCACTGAAGTTTGAGATTCACTGAGAATGAATATGCAAGTACATAGCTTATTTTAAAAGCAAGAATTAGAAAATTTCCATAATTTATATTTGTATATGTAGGTATATACACACATATACATAAATATATATTTACATATATACAGAGAGAATTGAAGGAATGAAAAAGGAGAGAAAGACAAAATTAGAGTGAGGGAGGGAGGGACACATTAGGACAAAAACAAGATTCACTCTCTCTCTTTCTCTCTCTCTCTCTCTCTCTCTCACACACACACACACATACACAGACACACACACACACACACATGGCACAGATCCAAGAAAAAATAATAGAGAAACATTTCACATACAGATGGGAACATGCTGAGAGAGACCTTAACCTCTCTCCCTCTCTAGCTTGTTACCTTATGAAAACATAGTATAGCAGAAACACTTAAAGCTGTGTGTGGTTATGGCACAAATAGAAACTGTCACCTTTCTACACCTGTATGCATAGGCCAGATGATGGCTGCCTCCTTTATAAATAAATATATAACCAGAATTTCTATTATAATAGATTTACAGTAGAAATAAAGAAGATTCCTTAAGTGTATTTAAAGAAGGTAAATATGCTGCTGAATATAATAAAAAATTTGGTACAATACTGGAAAGAGTATTGAAATTGTCTTTTAATGCACATATATACATATATACATTAAACATGGCAAAGCATGTTTATTGCTTTATTATATTTCTTTGATCTTTAAAGCTGCTAAAGTTGAAGAAAAAACAGACACGTATTTATATATACATGTATTACAAGAAATTACATATTTCCAAAAGTAAACGACTTAATGATGACATTTGATACATCAAATTAATGTTCTACTTTCAAAATGCATAGGCATAATACCAATGTAAAAGTAAAAATTTGCAATGTAAATATAATCAACAAAGCATAAGATATACCAGCCATGTAACTGTGTGTTAAATAAGTAAAATATTTATTTGATTCAATTATTCTTATTATACTATTTAAAATTATGTAAGAGAAAATGAGTCAGAAAAAAGGCATTTTAAAAACTAGACATAATGGTAAGACAGAGATGCAACGCTTTAAAACAACTCTATAATCAGAACTTATAAGTGACAAACAGTGGATAGTGGAGGGAAAGGAAGTACTTAAATAGTGTAACTACCTTTAAAAAGCATATGAGCTTACCTTATACACTTAAGAGGGATTACTTGATAGATAGGCTAAAGGAAAAAAATGAAAGAGGCCCAGAAGAGGCACTTCAAGAATCAGTAATGACAGATGACAAGCAATCACATCTGAAGGAAAAGCCTGAAATTATACAGCAAGTCAATCTACTAAAGTAATTCAATTTATAAAATTATCATCGTATACTTAAGAATTGAACATATCTGTTCTGAATGGTAAAGCATACTTATGGCTGAAATTTAATATGAAATCTGTAAATATGAAATTATAATCAAGGTATAGCCATCTTAATAGAACATCTCATTTTCTTAGATGAAAGATCACCATCAAAACTTCAAAAACTTGAAAATTAACTCCAACTATCTGTAATCCATTTTTAGATAAGTTAATTCACTTATAAAAAACAGCTTGCTAATTTTGATTGTTTTCTGAGCTTACTTATTTTGTTTATTTTTCACAAGATAAATACAAACAGAAACTAAAATATTTTGACAAGAATGAAGAAATCTGCTTGTAGCCTAGTAAAAAGAGGCTATTGTGCTTTGCCAAACTGATGTGACAGTAAAAACAAACTCTGTTTTAAATTCTCTTGAGTCATTTTCAAATTAAAACCACATTAGGTAATGGGATCTATCTGCAATCATCCTGAGATATATACATCTTACTTACCTCTGCCCATTCTGTGGAACCCAGAAGTCCAAATTCTTCTGCATCCCAGCTGGCAAAAATAATAGTTCTTCTTGGTCGCCAGCCTGTAATCATTTTTAACATACATGGTTAAGTACATTTGCCTAAAATTAAGGGAAAATTAGTAAGTCACTTTCTGCCATCACCTAAAAAATAAGCGTTATTTACCTTTACTCATCAATTTTCCAAAACTCTGGGCAATTTCTTGCAAAACAGCAGCCCCACTGGTTGGGTCAATAGCTCCAAACACCCAGGAGTCCCGGTGACCTCCCAGAATGACGTATCTGTCTGGAAAAGAAGATGTTCAAAAAAACTACAACTTTGAATACATCATAAATATTTATAATTTATATTTCTTAAATTGTTTCCTCTTGCTTGAACTTCCCCTGTAGAAACCAATCTCCATAGGAAACTCTTGGTTGAGTTTTCTCCACAGAAAAAAATTAACATTATAAAGTAAAATCTTACAGAGTTGTAAAATTTTTTCCCCAAATTTAGTAGCTTCAAATGTCAGGAAAACATCAATTATTGACTGAAATATATCTTCCCTTACTCCTTAATCTTTGTAAAAACAAAATGTTTGAAAATTTTTCTGACTCACCAGGCTCTACAGATCCTCTGATAGTTCCAATTACATTGTAAATTCTTGTAATTTTATTGGTGTTATGAATATGCATTCTAACTTTCCTAGAATTTCAAAAGGAACAGATTACTGAGTATAGGCATTCTGTATACAGTTTTATTTCAATGTTTTATTATGAAAAATTATTTTATAATAAACTTTATTATGAAAACCTGCACAATAGGACAATGAATTTTCATACATCTACCACTTAAATTCAATAACTGTTAGTACTGCTGAACCATCTGCAATTAAGTTGCAGACATCATGCCAATTTAGTCCTAAGTACCTAAGCATGCACCTTAAAGTCAAATATTTAAAACTATTTACTATTTATCTTCCCTTATAGCTATATTTATGTATTCTAAATTCAAAATAGTCTATTCAAAATGCCTTGGATTTTTATTCCAAAATGTAAAAATATATCCTACTTCATTACAAAAGCTAGAAAGCCCATTATGTAACAGAAAAGGTATATGCATATTATTTGAATATCTTACTATTTATATTAAATCCTGCTATTCAGTAACTTTCTTCATGATTGTGGAAGTGGTATAGAAAGGGGGACCCCAAAGATAGAAATTAATTTTTGGAGGGCAGGCCCCTTGTGTAGTACAGACTTTCCCTGCTAGAGAAGTGTTCAATCCATCAGCATCAGTGTACCAGCTAGCTTTGTTGTGAGCAGCTGTGTTCGGCTTCCGTGAATTTTTTTTGGAGATTCATTCAACAAGTTTGCCCATTCCATGATGGGTGATTTACAAGAGCAACTGCCCTTACCATGCTGAGTATTCAGCAGTTTTTGACCAAAATCAGCATGACCCTTATGCTCCACCCTCCCTATTCACCTGATCTCACCCTGAGTACGTTTTTTTGTTTTCCCAAATGAAAAAAGTCCTCAAAGGGAAACATTTCGCCAGTGTGGAAGAGGTGAAAAAAAGAACGGCAGAAGTACTGAAAGGCATTAAAATTGACGAGTTTAAGCCGGGCTCAGTGGCTCAGCCTGTAATCCCGCGCCTTTGGGAGGCTGAGGTGAGTGGACTGCCTGAGCCCGCGGGTTCCAGACCCGCCTGGGCAGGCGAGACCTCAACTCTACATTAAAATTAAAAAATCAGCCGGGCGTGGTTGCGCGCGCCTGTAATTCCGGCTACTCGGAAGGCTGAGGCGGAAGGATCGCCGGAGCCCAGTGGTGGCCGGGAGCGGCCACTGCACTCCAGTCTAGGTGACAGAGTGAGACTCCAACTCAAAAAAAAAAAAAAAAATTGACGAGTTTAAAAAATGTTTTGAGCAGTGGAAAAAGCATCTCAATATTGCATCAAACGTAGAATACTCTGAAGGTGACTGAAGTTTAAATATGTAAGAATAAATACACAATTTTTTAATAAATAAATTCCAGATTTTGGGGGTCCCCCTCATCTATGTTCATTTAAACAGTTGAATGAGAGCTGTCCTTTAAAAAAATGATAAAATAAGTCGGGCTCGGTGGCTCAGCCTGTAATCCTGCGCCTTTGGGAGGCTGAAGTGAGTGGATTGCCTGAGCCCGCGGGTTCGAGACCCGCCTGGGCAGCGAGACCTCATCTCTACAATAAATCAAAAAATCAGCTGGGCGTGGTAGCGCATGCCTGTAATTCCGGCTACTCGAAAGGCTGAGGCGGAAGGATCGCCGGAGCCCAGCAGGTCGAGGCTGCAGTGGCTGGGAGCGGCCACTGCACTCCAGTCTGGGCGACAGAGTGAGACTCCAACTCAAAAAAAAAAAGAAAAAGATAAAATATATTGTTAAATGAGAATTGGGGAAGATCCTGTTAAAATACACAACTACATAATGTGATGTTTTCAGGCCATCATTGCTGCTTTTGATTTGGGCAGGGCTTTAAAATTCACTCAGGAATTACAATTAAACAAATTAGAAAACAAGGAAAAATAGAGTGAAGCTCAACCAGACATTAATTAAAAGTGCTACTCATATTTTATGAATTCAAAATGACATGAAAAAATGTCACTTTTTAAAAAAAGAACAAACTAAATATTGATTCTAGAGGAGAGGAGACCTCAGTTGTTTCTAAATTGTGATTTTTTTTTTAAATGGAAGAACTAATGAGCTGTCAAACCTGTGTACTGTTAAGAACAGATTCTAACTTTCTCACCCCCAAAGTATATAGTGCTTCTGAATGCATATTCAATACAACTGAAACTGAAAACTGTACCTCAGGGGAAAATTAATCAATGACTGAGTTTTTGCACTTCAAGGCATTCAGAAAATAATTTATTTTTGTTACTGACAGACAAAAATTAATAGCTGAAAAGCAGAAACATTGTTTAGCATGTGTTTCTAAAGATATGAGCCTTAAATATATGATTAGTAAATTCGCTGATATTATGTCACTAAATGAAGAAAAGCAAGAAAAATGCAACCAAATGAGGAATGAGAAAAAAAATCAATGATTGTCTAAACATAAAAATAAACACAGGCTATCAGCTCAGAGTTTCAAAGAAGCTCATCCACTTCTCTAATCCTTCTGACTGTCTAGTTTTCAGTATCTTTGAGCTCCAGAATTCTCTTAAAAGAAAATATGTTTGTCTTATTATTACTTCAAATGCATTACGTTTCAAATAAACTGAGCTCTAGATTGTAGGCTTTACAGAAAGGAGGTATGTGCCTGTTTTGTTCACTGCTAAATCCCCAAAACCCAGAATGGTGCCTGGGGTATAGTAAATGCTCAATAAATATTTGTGAAATGAATGAAAAAATTAAGTAAGATCTTGGCTTATTCATCAGGGTTACCTCTGCTTATCATTGTCCTTGACTAGATTACATTACAACTCTGTAGAGACAGAAGTTAATTTGTATAAATGTGACAGTAATGCAAATAATTCACATCGACTGAATGTACAATCTGTCTAGATAAAGTGTATTTGAGCTCTCTTCCTCAGTGTAAAAGATTTTTAGAGGTCCTCCCAAGATATACAAGGGATTCATCCTGGAGAACTGCAATTGGGCAGCTTAAACCCACTCTTCATTTTTTGTGGCTCTCAGAGGTACATCCCAAGCAACAGGAGAATTTTAACTTTGCTGACACCCTACTAATTCTGTGTTTTATATTTCTATTTTGCTTAAGACAGATTAAATTATTTCCCATGGGTGGCAGTGACAGTTGATAATTTGGCTTTATGTCTTGTCATTTGGTAATATCTTTAAATGGATTAATGGATTCTTAAGATCTCTGAGGGGTGAGAGATAAAAAGAGAATCTGAGCCAGGCTCTGGTGGCTCAGCCTGTAATGCCAGCACTTTGGGAAGCTGAGGTGAGTAGATTGCCTGAGCCCGTGGGTTCAAGACCTGCCTGGGCAACTTGGTGAGACCTCATCTCTACAATAAACCAAAAAAATTAGCCGGGCGTGGTAGCGCATGCCTGTAGTTCCAGCTACTTGGAAGGCTGAGGCGGAAGGATCGCCAGAGCCCAGCAGGTCGAGGCTGCGGTGGCCGGGAGCACGCCACTGCACTCCAGTCTGGGTGTCAGAGTGAGACTCCAACTCAAAAAAAAAAAGAATCTGGTTTTTAGTTTTGTTCTTTGTGTATTTGTCCATTCTGAGCTCAAATCAATTAATAATTCTGTGCCCACAGTAAAGAACAGCTTTTTGATATCTAGACCTGAGAATTTTTGTTTCTGAATTTGAGTTTACTCTTGAACTGTGATGAAATTGTAGGGCTGAAGTTGTATGAACGTTTCTGTTTGTAAATCAGAAAGGATCTTACCTTTCATTGTGTGATTATGTTTGTTTGCCTTCCTGGAAGATAAAAATAAATTATATACTAAAGTCTCTTAAATTAAATGACTATTGCTCTGATTGAATTACAGAGGTAAATAAACACTTATGTAAACGAAATATTTTTAAACTTCTTATAAAATAGGGAAACTGAATTCCTAATAATTCAAAATTTTTGGAATTAAAAAATTCCTACAGAAACTAAGACACACTCAAAATCCAAGTTCATGTAGTTAAGGTAAATTGTTAGCAAACAAGACTAATTTAATAATTAGTCTCCTGCAACATTTCAAGCAAATCAGACTTCTCCAAGTTCTGATCATGCCATGCTATTTCACAACCCTGTACAAACTGACTTCTCTAGCCGGCACTTCCAGCCTGCCTGGACTCAGTGGAAAACTTACTCTTTCTGTAAGACTAAGCTCAGTGAACACATATTTTGTGATCATACCTCCTCTCCAACAGTGCTGTAATGTGTTGACAATGATGGTAATTGTATCAATAAGTCTACTGAGCCTAACAGCTGCTGTGTGATTTACCCATTCTAACTCATGAAACTCACACAGTAGGTGACCAATACACAGAAGGCGACCAATGGCATCCTTCTCTCTTCTTTACCCTCTCCTTTAAATTAACCTAGTGTTTTCCATGTATGTACGGCATTTTGAAACTTATTTGAAAAACTGTTTAAAAAACATTAGGTGAAAAGAGAAGTTTAAAAAAAATTGTTCAAAATATCAAAACTATAACTCAAATCTAGTAATTTTTGAAATGCTATGAAACTAATATTGTGATATCACTAGTGGAAGAAATTAACACTTCATTCTGTAAATACCACTTAAGGATACTAAAGCATCAATTGTTTACTAATGAAAGTAAGAAAAAGAGATTTGCAAAATATACCTAGAAGAATAATTATCTTGACGTGTTTCCATTAAAAATAGAAAACCTTTTCAGGCTATTAAAGCAAGACAAAATTACCTGTAAGAATAACTTCCTGCAAAGCCAGGCCCAATATTGTAACTCACATTAAGAGTTCCCTTCCAGCTCTCATCTGGTGGAGCAGCTCCTCCCAAATGGCTGTCAAAAGAAAATGAAGATGACAGAAAAAGGCTTAGCATAAATTTTCAAGAAAAAACCATAAAGTTTGATGATGAGAAAATATTTTATTCATATGTATAAGAAATATTTATTATTTACTAAGTGCCAGGTGTCTGTCAACAATCCCTTTCTTTGAAGAGCTTATATTCTAGTGAGAGAACCACAACTGAAAAAAACAAGTAAAATGTATATGTTAGTGATAATAAAAGCTGAGGAGAAAAAAAAATAGGGCAGATGGAAAGCATCAGCCTCCTTACTTTTGACCTTAATAATTTATGTGGGGAAGCTCTGGGTTCAAGAAACCCTAAATATTGGAAATTAATGACTATGCTAAGAAAAAAATTAATTTGTAAAGAAGCTGCTGATTATAAAGTAGGTACTCATACATAATTATTAAATCTTACTGATATAGACATTTAAAAAATGGGAGTTGTGAGATATGTAAAGGAACATCAGTTATATAATATAATAATAGAGAATATTGTTTATCATATTCTAGATATGGTACTTTACATTAACCCTATCAACAGGGAGAAACAATTACTGTTCTCATTTTACAGATAAGGAAACTGAGTCAGAAAAAGATTAAGTGACTGGTCCAAGGTCATAAATCTAGTAAGTGGTAGTGGGAATTATCATATTCTTAAACTACAGGTCGAGTATAAATATCTAAGGAATACCTAAGAGAATCCAACTACTTAAAAAAAATCACAAGTCAGCATTATCTTTGGACATAGTTTTGTATTTGAGAATTCCATTTGTGGCAAACAGAACAATGTTTTATTATTATTGCTTAGTCACTAAACCCTGCTCTTCTCTCATGAAATAAAAAGATAGCATGCTCTGTTAGTCCTACTTCAAAATATTCCTATTTTGATATAAAACTTTATTTTAAACATAGTCTATATTGATTTTCTATCAGAAGAGAGATGCCTTAGTGCAAAATATCTTAATCTCATATTTAACTATAAGACTATACCGTAGTAATATTTCTGCATCATAATATCCAATAGGATGTACAGGTATTTTGGGGATTCCCACTCCTTCTTCAACATTAAGTCTAAAGGTGTACTCTGCAAAAACCAAGTGCATAAAGTGAAAACAATTGAAGAATTTGAGCATGAAATATATATAGGAATTTTGTATTATTGCTGCAAATTTGCTGCACATTTTCAATTATACCAAAACCAAAAGTTCCCCAAAAGTCAAACAATTACATAACATTATGTAAGAATTAAGAATTAAGTAATTTACATTTTAAGATAAAATTAATTATAGAAACCATAGATTCTCAAATTTGTTTTCACATTTCACATAATTTTCTTAAATTTTGCAAGAACATTTTATTTCCTCAAGGATATCTTGAATCCTTCTTAGAGAAGCTTTATTGTCCGGATGCTTAGAAAATTTATCCCAGATTTTAAAACTGTAAATAACTGGGAAAAAAAGGGAACACATGAGATATTTGGAATAAATGACAAACATCTTATTCACATAGTAAAATCATATCTTCTAAAGAAAGATTGAAAAGCATTACCACCTTAAAATCTCATTGAAACTTTGGCTTCAGTCAAGACAGTAAAAGGGACCTAATTACCATCATGTCTGAACCAATTTAAAAGCAACAAAATATATGAAGCAATAGTTCTACTATAAGATTTTTTCTTATTATTTAAGTAGCTTTATAAGATAATTGGCTGTTGAAACAAAAATTGTAACAATATAATTAGATGAAAAATAAGTAAGTATATAAGACTTGAATAACACTATCAACTGCCTTGACCTAGTTGACATTTATAGAATATTCCACCAAGAAACAGCAGAATACACATTATATTTTCAAGTGCATGTATAAAATGTATTAGACAGAGTATACTGTAGGACATAAAAATAAGTCTTAATAAAGGTAAAATTCACAATAAGTATGTTTTCTAACCACAGTGGACTTAAATTAGAAATCAATACTAGAAAAATACCAAATATTTTAAAAATAAATAATACACTTATTCATCAAGTAGAAATGAAAAGGGAAATTATAACTAAATAAAAATAAAAACAAATTATGTTAAAAGTTGTAAGGTGGAACTAAAGCAGTGCTTAGAGGGAGAGTTACAACACCAAAACCATCTATCTTAGAAAAAAAGAAAGATTTCAAACAAATGACATCAGATTCCACTTTAAGAAACTAGTAAAAAGACTAGGAGCAGTGGCTTATACCTGTAACATCAGCACTTTCAGGAGGTGGAGGTGGGAGGACTGCTTGAGCCCAGGAGTTTGAGACAGCCTGGACAACCCAGCGAGACCTCATCTCCACAAAAAAATCAAAAAGAAATTTGCCAACATGGTGTCGTGTGCCAGTAGTCCCAGCAACTGGGGAGGCAGAACAGAAGAACTCTTTGAGCCCAGAAAGTCAACACTGCAGTGAGCTGTGATGGTGCCACTGCACTCCAGCATGGATGAGAGTGAGACCTCCTTGACTCAAAAAAAAAGAAGAAGAAGAAGAGATTAGAAGAACAACTGAAGGCCAAAATAAGCAGGAGAAAATACGTAATAAGTACCAGAGCAGAAATGTAAGAAATAGGAAACAAAAAATAATAATTAATGAAACCTAAAGTTGGTTCTTTGGGAAGATCAATAAAACCAATAAATTTCTAACAAAACAGATCAGAAAAAAAGTAGAAAAGACTAAACTTCAGATATCCGAAATAAAGGAAGAGACTTTCTCTCCAGTATCTGCTGACAAAAAAAGAATAAGAAACTGTTATGAACTCTATGCTTACAAATTAGACAACCTAAATGAAATAGACAAAATCTTTGAAAAACACAAATACCAAAGCTCACTTGAGAATAAATAGGTAATCTTTACAGCTATATGTTTATTAAAGAGATTCAATTTGTAGTGAAAAACATTTCTACAAACAAAACTTCAGGCTCATATGGATTCTTAGGGAATTCTACCAAAAATTTATAGACTAAATTGATCCCATTCTATATAAACTTTTTTTTTTTTGAGTCAGAGTGTCACTCTGTGCCCAGGCTGGAGTGCAGTGGCATGCTCATGGCCACTGCAGCCTCAAACAGCTGGGCTCAGGTGATTCTTCAGCCTCAACCTTCCAAGTAGCTAGAACCACAGGCATGTGCCACCACACCCAGCTAATTTTTTGATTTATTGTAGAGATGAGGTCTCATCAAGTTGCCCAGGCTGATCTTGAACCCGTGGGCTCAGGCAATCCTTTCACCTCAGCCTCCCAAAGTGCTGGGATTATAGGTGTAAGCCACCCTACCCAGCCTATATAAACTTTTACAGAAAAAATGAATATGATGGAGTAGTTTCCGTCTCATTTCAAGGGGCAAGCCGATACCAAATAATACAAAGAAAGACGTTACAAAAAAATCTGCAGGCTAACATCCCTTGTGACCACAAACAGAGATATTCTTAAGGAAAAAAATCACAAACTGAGCAATTTATAAAAGGATTGTACATTGTCACCAAGTGGAGTTTATCCCAAGATAGCAAGGTTCATTTAACACTAAACAATATTAATATAATTTTTCAAGAATAAATAATAATATATAATCATCTCAATGTATACAGAAAAAGCATTTGACAATATCCAATATACATTTCCAATAAAAAACTGTCAGTATATTAGGATAGAAGTAAACTTCCTCAGAGTAACAAAAAAAATCTATTAACAAAACCTAGAGCTAGTATAATATTTAACAGAGAAAGAATGGAGACTTTCCCCCTTGGGACAGAAAAAAAGCAAGAATGTCTGCTCTAATAACTTCTCTCAACATTGTACTAGAGGCTCTAGCTGGTAATCATAAAAAGCCAGTATAATTGTACTAGAGCCAGTATAATAAGTCATAAAAAGAAAATAAAACTTACCCGGATTGAACACAAAAAAAATAAAATTGTTTTTATCTGCAAATGATATGACTATGCATGTAAAAACTCTGATGGAATCTACAAAAACCTTGTAGAACTAGATACAAATAATCTATTAACAAAACCTTGAGCTAGTATAATATTTAACAGAGAGAGACTAAAGACTTTCCCCTTGGGACAGAAAAAAAGGCAAGCCTATCTGCTCAAACAACTTCTCTCAACATTGTACTAGAGGTTCTAGCTAGTAATCATAAAAAGCCAGTATAATAAGGCTTATCCAGATTGGACACAAAAAAATAAAACTGTCTTTATCTTCAAATGCCATGAATATGTATGTAAAAACTCTGATGCAATCTACAGAAAGCTAGTAGAACTAACTGGTGAGCTTAATAAGTTTGAAAGATACAGAATCAATGTGTCTGTTTCTTCTAGAAATACAATGTTTGTATTTACTAGTAGTGAAAAATTGGAACTAAAATTCAAAAGAATAAAACTATGAAATGCATATGGATAAATCTGACCAAAGATGTGAATGATTTATACAGTGAAACTATAAAACACTGCTGAAAGAAATTAAAGAGAGTTGGATCTTTTTCATGAATCAGAAGATTCAATATTTTTTAAATGCCAATTCTCCCCTAATTGATCCATAGATTTCATTTAATTCAAATCAAACTCCCGGGAAGCTTCTTGGTGGAAATTAGCAAGCTAGTCTAAAATTTGTATGGAAAAGATCAAGAATAACCACAACATTGAAAAAGAAGAGTCGTAATTTGGAGGATTCACACACCTATTAGAATGTAGAATTTAAAAGGTTGCCAACAAAAGGTGTTGGCAAGGATAGCAAAAAGAACTCAAGCATTGCTGTTGCAATGTAAGATGAAACTACTTTGGAAAATGATTTGAAAATTGTCATAAAAGTTAAACATGCAACTACTTTATTTTCCAGCCATTCCACTTCCAAGTATTTACCCACTAGAGAAATAAAGGAATATTTATGTACAAAGTCTAGTACAACTGTTTATAATACCTTAATGTGTAGTAGCCCCCAAATGAAAACAACCGAAATGTCCATCAACAAGTAAAAGAATAAATAAACTGCCATTCAATTTAAAACTTCTCAACAACAAAAAAAGAAAAATAGAAAAAGATAAACTATTGACACAGATGCCAACACTGATAGAACTCAAAATAATTACACTGGACCGAGAGCAGTGGCTCATGCCTGTAATCCCAGCCATTACTCTCGGCCCGTAATCCCAGCACTTTGGGAGGCTTGGGTGGGAGCACTGGTTGAGCTCAGGAGATCGAGACCAGCTTGGAAAACATAGCAAAACCCTGTCTCAACAAAAAATCAAAAAATTAGCCACAAGCCTGTAGCCCCAGCTACTCGGGAGGCTGAGGTGGAAGGATTGCCTGAGTCCAGGAGGTCGAGGTTGCAGTGAGCCATGATCATGCACTGCACCCCAGCCTGGGCTACGGGGTGAGACTTCAACTCAAAAAATGTATCTATATATTATGCTGACAGCAGGAAGCAGATCAGTGGTTGCCTAGGGATTGGCATGCAGGGGGGCAGGAAGAATTGGGAGGAAGAGAATTTAAGGAAATGAGAGAAAAACTCTTTTGGGATGATGACTATATTCATTATCTTGATTGTGGAGATCATTTCACATATGTCAAAATCTTTCATTTTAGATTTTAAATTTAAATTTTAAATGACATAAAGACTCATTGGTATTTTTAAAAGTAGAAATGTATCACCTAAAGAAGGACAAAATTCCTAGGTAATTCAGCCAACCTCATATCTAGTTTAGAGACAGCAATATTACTTTGGGTATAAAGATCAATGTTTCTGAACTTGACTAAAGGAAAAAGAAAAACATGATTGGAGTGTTTCCTCCCTACACCCACATCTCATGAAAGTTTAAAACTGAAATAATACAAGAGACATGCTTTGGAATTCCTAGCAAGAGGAATTCAAAATGATATTACTATATACAATTTTAGTTGTAACGTTATTCTATAGATGTCTGCTTTTGTTTCATCAAAAAAGAACATGGAATGTTTTTTGCAAAACAGTGGACTGACATGCTCAGGCATTACCTTTCGCTGGATAGCCTGGAGTGAGTGGGTCACCAGCACCATTCAAATTCAGTACATTTCCTCTCTGGGCCACAGTTCCAGGAAGATTCCACCCTTTGGGATATGGCTGTACCTCAGGGGCAAAGTAGTCAGCTGGATCTGAGTACAAGATGATTCCTATGGCTCCTGCTAACATGGCATTTTTAACCTACAGGGGCAATGTGCAATCCGTAATGCAGAAATGACAAATGATTGGCTTATTCATGTAGGAAAAAAATAATTAAATGCTGTAAGGATATTTAGACACTGCTTTTTATTGTGCCATCACACATTCAGTTCTCTGGGCCTTGTATGCAATTTCCCTCTTGGTAGATATAACAATCTCCCATTTATTTTACAAAATTCTAAACAAGTTATCACTTCTGTAAAACCTTCCTATTGTTTGCAAAATTGCAAAATTAATATCAACCTCCTTTGCACTTCTCTATTTTGTATATATTTCTATCTTTATAGTATATCAAAATATCTTTTAAATGTCTATCTCCCCTCCTAGTCTGAGGGTGTTTTTGAGGACATGGACCATGTCTTATTAACTTTTAACCACTGCCCTCTCAAATCTCACACATCATAGAGTAAGCACCTTACAAATACTTGTGGAGCAAAATTTACTTAAAATTGTATGCAGAACAGTCATAGCATGTGAAAAATTACCCAAAGTGCTTTTGTAAACATCTTTCTAGCAATACAAACTGGCCAAGAATAGGAAAATCTACCTGTGAGACACTAAATTCTTCATTACCAAAAGTATTGTAGCAAAAGATAGATAATGTGATTCATTAAAATGCATTCCAATATTAAGAAAGTACTCTTTATATCGGTGATAATATAATCTTTTGTAACATTTTTTTAAGAGAAATTTTTGAAAAAACTTATACTTTTTTCAGCCATTCCATTTCTAGGAATCTATTCTACAAAAACCTACACACATGTTTGAAGTATATACATGGACATACATGTTTGAAGTATATACATGGATGTTCACAATGGAATTATCTGTAGCAGTAACAAATTCATGACAAGATAAACAAATATCCATAGGGAAATGGTTAAATAAATTGCTTAGCAATTCTGTGAAATATTATGCTGTCATTTAAAGCAAAGAAATATTTAATAAAGTTATATAGAAATTAGTAATTACCAGCCATTTTCCTAAGTGGTTTTAAACATGAAGTCATGCAATTCTAATAAGGACTCTAAGAGACTGGTGCTCTTTCAGCATTCCCATTTTATATATGAGGAAATTCTGCAACAGAGAGATTAGGTAACATGCCACACTAGACGATCTAGAGACAACAGGGGTCCAGTCTAGACCAGAGCACAGGTGATATGAATCTAGGGTCCCATACTTTTAACCACTTACACTCTGTAACTTTCAATGTGTTGATATGGAAGAATACCTATGAATTATATTTGAATGAAAAAAATAGTTACACACAGTGGATAATGCCCTCTAAGTTAAAAAAAAAAAAAAATATATATATATATATATATGAGATATATATACACATACATATATGTAAAATGGGTATACAGAGACAGACATACTTATATTTCACAGAATTAGATCTGGAAAGAACAATTAAGTGCGATTATGTCTGGACAATAATGTTGGGCAATGCAGGAGAACTTTTTATTTTTTAGTTTATATAAATTTCCTTCAGTTAATTTTTTTTCCAGAGTTCCTGGTGCCCAAGCTGAAGTACAGTGGGATGGCTCACCACATCCTCTACCTCCTGGATTTAGATGAGGCTTTCCACCTCAGCCTCCCAAGTGGTTGGGACTATAGGCATGTACCACCATTCACAGCGAAGTTTTTTATTTTTTTGTAGAGATGAGGTCTCATGTTGCCTAGGCTAGTTTTGTACTCCTGGGCTCAAGCAATTCGCCCACTTTGCTGGGATTATAGGCATGAGCCATGGTACCCAGCCTCCTTCACTTAAATTTTAAAAAGTAAGTATTACTATTGTAATAAGAATGAGTACAAATAATTTTCATCTCCAGATATGTAAAGTAACATTAAAACAGGATTTTCTGTACACCCATGGTAATTATAAAAGAGAGAGAGAGAGAGGGAAAAAAATTGAAAGCAGCTTTGGAAACTATGAGCCGGGCTCAGTGGCTCAGCCTGTAATCCTGCGCCTTTGGGAGGCTGAGGTGAGTGGATTGCCTGAGCCTGCGGGTTTGAGACCCGCGTGGGCAGCGAGACCTCATCTCTACAATAAACCAAAAAATCAGCCGGGCATGGTAGCGTATGCCTGTAATTCCGGCTACTTGGAAGGCTGAGGCGGAAGGATCGCCGGAGCCCAGCAGGTCGAGGCTGCGGTGGTCAGGAGCGGCCACTGCACTCCAATCTGGGCGATAGAGTGAGACTCCAACTCAAAAAAAGAAGAAACTATGAAGCAAGTTGATTATTTACATTTACAGGATGTATCCTGTCTCATTCTTTCTAGAAAAACAAATAGCACCATACTTTATTTCCTCTGAAGATTTTTCCATATCTTGCAATAACAATCTTTCCAGTACAGTTGATGTTCATCTCTCTTTCTAGTGTGAAAAAGTCTTCAGTACGCGCATAATTCACATAGACAAGATCTCCCTAAAGGGAAAAGAAAAAAATCCATAATACTGCTAGAATTAAAGAGTAAACCAAAAAATAAGTTTGCAAAAAATAAGTTTGCTGTACAATACTGCATCATCAACAGTTTCCTTTCCTTATTTGGGATTAATAAGCAGACCCATGGTAATCCTGCAAAAGTCTTTAGAGAATTCTTTAAAATCTTGAAAGTTAAAAAAAAATGACCGTATACAAGGCATGATGAAACAGTATGTTCTGTTTTGAAGAAATTTTCAGTGTATACTAAGCCACAGGAGATACAGTAAATAAAAATCATTTTTAAAATCCCAGTTGTGATTAATTTCTGACAATTACATTAATTTAATATAACTTCTATAATATAATTTATAAAATCAGATCTATGAATTTATTTTAAAATTTCAGATTATGAACAATGGAAAAAAGCTGGTAAAAACAACTATTATCCTTACTGAATTAAAGCCATGTTCAGCAGTTTCTTTGACATTTCAAAGAGTGGCATTTGCTTCACTGGGGTTTGTTTTTACTGTATTTGTTTTATTGCTTTTTGTTCTATTTCTGGTGTTCTTTTGTTTTATTATTATTATTTTTAATTTGGGTGATGAGGTATTCATAGTACTAAACACAGAACAATTAATTTGCATGTATGATTCATTTAATCTCTTTTATTTTCATCCTCTATACAGGTCTTATATAGCACTTATATAGCAAAGAAATACTTATTGAGGAGTAAAAAGCATTTTATTTTACCTCCGGCATGCCTTGGGCTGAGAAAGCATTATATGGTGGTACAATATTTGTAACATTCTCATATCCATCAGGTGGTAGTTCAAGACACGAGGTATTGAAAATCTAGCAAAAAATTAAAACATGTCAAAATTAGAGAGAATGAGTCCAGATTGTTATTAAGCATACTCCATTTTGCCTCCAGGTAAACAATTAAGGTTAAGCATCCTGGAACTAGTTCTATAATTTCATAGGTAATTACACTGATAACAATGTGAAAGAGCTTTATATTATTATCTTTAAGATAATAATATAAATGCGTGCAATCCCAGGTGCCCTTATAATTCCCAGGTACCCTTGTAAGTGCCCATACAAAGGGTAAAATCAGGGCTTCAAAGCTGGCACTCTTGTGACTCTCTCTTTTTTGCTTGTTTTTGAGAAGGAGTCCCTGGAACAAATCTGCTTTTGACTATGTCTATTCAGCTTCCTTTGTGGGTTCCTTTTCTTCCATCTTCATTTAAATCACATTTTTCCTGCCTCATCCCCAGCCCACGCTTGTCTTGCACTCCCTCCCTGGGAGACTTCCCTATAAAAATGCTGCCAACAGCAAATACACTTCTGATGTTCTGCTTTTCAGATTCTTGTATTTTAAAAGCCTGATGGTCATTTCCAGCTTGGATAGCTAAACTCAACATGTTAAAATTCTAATTTATCTTCTCCCAGTTCTCATTTCCTATCTCTATTCATTAGCTATCCAGACCAGATAGTCTGGAGTCATCTTGAACTCTTTCTTACCCTCTTTCTCCTGTCATTAAGTCCTGTTAATACAATTTACATTTTATAAATTCATTCCCCTTCCTCATTCCTGCTGACACCTAATTCAAAACTTCATTATCATTTACCTGGACTCTTGTCCTAAGGCTGCACCTTGGACTCCTTCCTAATTGGGTGTCATCTACAGATGGCCCAATCTACCTAAAGTGCCTCTCTAACCACATACCTCCCCTGCTGGGGATTGAAACGGAAGCTCCTTAGGACAGCATATAGGCCCTTCAATGTAAGCCCCCAGAACTTATCTATTGCTCTCTTATCATGGCCCACTTTGTATTTCACACTCTAGAAATACAGAAAGTCATTAAATTTTCTCAATAATACTAAGCTAGTATACATTTCTGAGGCTTTGCCAATATTTTGTCTTCTGTCTAGAATTTTCTTAGTTTGTTTTGTCATGTGGCTAAACCCCTTATGACCTTTCATGATTCACATATCAACACTTTCAGAAAGCCTTCTGTAACTCCCATACTGGGTTGAGAAACCCTTGTCTATGTAAAGAGTCCTAAACATGCTTTTTATAGCACTCATCATAGTGGTTTAAAATTTGAAATATTCCATTGTCTGCCTCACCTCACTTAAGCAAGGGAACCAAGTCCTAGTCTTCATTCTGGCCTCAGTACCTAACATGTCTAACACATAACAGACATTGAATTATTAATTTCTAACTTACTTTCTAAAAAATGTGAGTTCTATTGCACAATTAACAAAGTTCTAATTTTATTTGACCCTATATTTTAATCTACATAAAAGGGTAGAACTATAAACTATACAAATTATCAACAATTTCACAATACCTCAATTCCATGTTCATCCACAATTGATACATAATTGGCATTTGTCTCATTAGGGTAAGATAAGAGAACATCATAATGAACCAAGTTGGCTGAGTCTAGTCCAAACGTCTTCCACTGGGTTTGGATTTTCTTGGCAAGCAGCAAATTTTGTTCGGTTCCTGCCAGATGAGGAAGTCTTGTAAAAGAACTAAAATAAAAATATAATACAAGACAGAGTTAAAGACAACATGCTTAAAAGCTATTCTAAGTGTATTACTTATCCTTTTGGCATTAGGTCATCATTTCTATATGAGAGATATAAGAAACTCAGCTACTGTTAACAATTTCTAGATATGCCATTTAAAAAAATATTTGTGTGCAGTTGCAGTTTTTGTATTATTCTCCCTCAGAAAAGAACACATTCCATGGTAAACACAATCAGCAGAGGCCCAGATATGAGAAGACACCCTGGAAGAATGCCATACTTCTACACCAATAACGCTCTATCTTGCTGCTTATCAGTAAACAGAGACATTTTAAGGAAAAAAAGAGTTCTTAATGTCTGTCAGAGACCATTAAGACACATCTACATTTAACTTATATATTTCTACTGTCAATTTTATCATTTATGTAGTTGCTTATTTATCTCATTGAGGTTAAAGGTCATGCATTTTCACTTCCTACATTCCTAGTACTTAGCTCTTGCATGTTACCTGAAGAACTAAAGCCTTGTTGAATTGAATCCGGGCAATATTCTCTTAGATGTGGATATAAATGAGTTGTAGCATTTCAGTGTCCCCACAAATATAATTCTAGAGATATTTATTTTATTTGACATGAATAATATTTTAACAGTATCCCAATTCTTCCCCTAATGTCTATAAAGCAATAATAAATACTTTTGTAAACTATTTTTTTTAGTCAACCAGAGGACAGCCATAAAATATAGAGCGGTAAAGGAAATTAACATTTATTGAAAGCAATATGTGCCGAGCACTCTCCAGGTACTTTAACATGTGTTATCTCATTTAATCCTCTAAGTCCTTCTTCCATTTCCCCCATTTTGCAAATGAAGAAACTGAGAATGTGGCTGAATAATTGGATCCTAATTTCACAGCTAATAAAAGCTGGTGTTAGAATCTGAAATTATAGCTGTCTGATCTTGAGAAATGGTGATATTTTTAAATAATTCATCTGATGTTATTAAGTACCTTCTTTAAATCCTCCTACAGCTCTCTACACTCTGCATTACAAGTTCACTCCAATAGGCCCTATCAGGTCTGGTCTACCCTCCACCTTTTCAGCTTCATTTTCCATCACTGTCTCTATAAACTTCTCTGCTCTATGTCACTGTGTATACTCATTTTTCTTTTGAAATGATTATGCTTTTTATACTTTTTATACTTTTAAGCCTTCATGCAAGAGCTTCTCTCAGACATAAACGTGCCCCATCTACCTGAATCTCCCTCCATGACCACTTCGCCTCATCCCCCTTTCCCACCTGCAAACTGTTCATCATTCATTAGGGCTCCTTAAACATCTTCTCTGTGGAGCGTTCCCTCTCTATCACCAAATGAAACCTGCAGGTAATACACGTTTAATACCTCAAATATTTGCTTTTTAAAAGTGCAAGTGTATTCAGACAGAAGTTATTTTACACACATAGAAGAAAAAAAAAACAGAGGCTGGGGATATTTACTATCTACTCCAAACAATTCATTATTGTTTTATTCTCTACAAAGAGAAGATGTTATTTTTGCAGTTGGAAAAAGTAAATAAATAAATTAGCCGGGTATGGTGGCATACATCTGTAGTCCCAGCTATTCAGGAGGCTGAGGCAGGGGGATAGCCTGAGCCCAGGAAGTAGAAGCTGCAGTGAGATATGAGCAGGCCATTGCACTCCAGCATGGGCAACAAAGTGGGACCCGACTCAAAAAAACAAAAAACAAGAGAGAGAGAAAAAAAAAAACCACATGTTTTATTAAATTAAAACAGGCAGGATTACCCATGAATTTTTGCCTCCCATCTTTTAGAAAACCCACTGAAACAGAATAGAGAAGTACCAAAGAAGAGCATCAGGGTATAACATCCTTTGCTTTATGTTTGGGTTTCTTCTTATGGTCCCCAGATGGGCATTCCAGCTCCAGGCATCAGTTATACAAATAACACTTCCAATTCCCTTTTTGTATTTCATTTAACAAAGAAACACTTTTGTAGAAGATCTTAATTAAATTTTTTTCCCATTTCATTAGGCAAAATAGGGTCATCTACTCCTTCTCAAACCAATCAGAAGAGAATTACGATGACTTGCTTATGGATCAATCATTATAGGAGAAGCACAACCTTTACGTGCCCCATCTACCTGAATAAACATGCCCCATCTACCTGCCCTCCTGGAGGAGGGCTAATTCAGTTGAGGCTCTGCCAATAAGAAAATGGCTGTGAGAAATCAAACATTTTCATCATAAACCCCTCCCACCCAATCTTGTGTCCCTCCTTTGCCTCCTGAACTCTTTCACTGTGTTCATGGACCCTGTAGGTCTTCTATGATCAATAATTCTTCTGTAGTCCCTTCTCCGAATATTTACTTGAGCTTCTTGTCTTAACTGGTTTCTTCTGAGAACCTGGCTTACTTGCAAACAGTGTTATATCCCATAACTTTCTTTTGAAGTTCTTACCAAATGTCACCACCCACTACACCTTCTAAGTGTTATCCTATAAAATACTGTGGGTCACAGCTCTTTACTCATGAAAGTTGTGGACTATCAATACACTGTATTTTCCTCTATCCTGTTCCCGTCATTGTTCTTGGTATAAAATGTCTGTATGTAGTTGGATGCAAAGGAAAGAAAAACAAAACAAACAAGATGCTTAATTATAAAAACTATACATAAATCACTTATTACCTTATGAATTATTAAACATTGAAACAAAGTACGATTAATAATAATATAGACAGACAACTATAATGTTGGGTCAAGAGTGTCACCAAGTTTTACTTCTGACACCTCATGTCATTTTCTTAGTGCCTTCTTTTGGACACTTTATGATATGCTGCAAAGTTACACAGCACTGACTTTTTTTTTTTTTTTTTTAGTTGGAGTCTCACTCTGTCGCCCAGACTGGAGTGCAGTGGCTGCTCCCGGCCACCACAGCCTCGACCTGCTGGGCTCCAGCGATCCTTCCGCCTCAGCCTTCCAAGTAGCTGGAACTAGAGGCACATGCTACCACGCCCAGCTAATTTTTTTATTTATTGTAGAGATGAGGTCTCACCAAGTTGCCAGGTGGGTCTCGAACCCGCGGGCTCAGGCAATCCACTCACCTCAGCCTCCCAAGGCGCGGGATTACAGGCTGAGTCACTGAGCCCAGCTAGCGCTAACATCTTACCTTGGTATTTTATGTTATGTAAGTTTAAATATAAGAATTCTGTCTCTCTTAATAAGTCATTCTGCCATTCTCCTCCATTGCAGAAGCAACACAGACACTCTCTTCAAGTGATCGTCATCCCACTGCCTACTCAATCTTTTCCTGTATCTTCAGAAAACCACCTCAAAACAGACATTTTAAATTAGCTTCTTTATATCAGATGTGCCTTGGCAATAAATCAGCTCAAATTTCACAAAAATTTGTAGTTGTTTTTATTCTCACTACCATAGCTCACTCTTGGTCATCCACAGAAACTAAGATGGAACTTTGTGATTTTAATCACACCTCAGTCAGGATGGGTAGGAAATGTAGATGCCTCCTTCACTTTTCATGGAGTTATGTCCCTATAAGCCTACTGGGAGTAAAAGATATTACAAGTCAAAAATGCATTTAATATTCTGAAACATTAATAATAAAGTAAAAAATAATTCTAAGTCAAACCTTCAAGAGTCAGGGACTATCTGTGGATCACAGTGTATGGCATTTCACTCTGGTTTCTGTCTTTAGAATTTAACTGACATCTCAGAGAGAAGACAAAGAATGATGCAGAAAAAAAATTTAAGAAATACCAAACCAACCTTCCTAAATTAGTAATACACATAAATTTACAAAGTCAAGAAGCTCCAAGAGCCATGAACAGGATACATTTGAAGAACACTGTGCCTACACACATAGTAAAACTGCTGAAAACCAAAGAAAAAAATGATGCATGTTACACAACTCAGATGACTGTGGACTTATCATCAGATGACACAGCAGCCAGAAGACAGCAAAACATTTAAAGTTCTAAAAGGTGTGTATGTGTCAGGGGTATCAACTCGGAATTCTATATCCAGGAAAAATAAGCTATAAAAATAAGGCTGAAATGAAGAACTTCATAGATGATGACAAACAGAGAATTTGTTACCACCAGGTCCCACATTACAGGAAATACTTTAGGTTGTTAAACAGAAACACCAGAAAGCAATCTAAATCTTCAGAAACAAGTAAAAAGAAATGGAAATGATAAGTATCTGATAAACATAAAATATTATTTTTAACTTTAATTGGTTTATAATATATATAAATGTTCAAAGAAAAAAACACTTTTGAAGTTTATATTGCATGCATATATGATACATATAACAACTTCAGTATAAAAGATGGTGGGGGAGAGAATAAACAGACACAAGAAATGTGTGAGTTTCTGCATTTTATGTTACAATGAAATAGTTTAAAAAATTACAATAGTAACTTTAAGAATGCAGTGAAGCATTAGGTTATTATCTTTAGAGTATTCGCTAAAAATGCAAAACAGTAAAACCAGAATATAAACTGAAATAAAATTTTCAAATTTGATATATTCTCTCCACTACCAAAAAGTCTGAATATGAGTAAACAAAGGGAGAAAACAGAAAACAAACAATGAAGTGGCACTCAGACCTAGGTTTAATAATATCAATCAGTAATTACATTATTGTTGATAGACTAAATACTCAAAAGGAAGAGACTACCAGAATGGATGAAAAAGCAAGTACCTATTATATGCTTGCCTACAGAGGGCACACTTTAATTAAGATTACTACAATGAATAAAACAGCAAGTGGCAATTTTATGCTCTCTGTAGAGGCATATTTCAAATATGAAGAAAAATGACAGCCTAAAGGTAAGTGGATGGAGAAAGACATACTTTTCAAACATAAGTATAAGAAGGCTGATGTGGTGGCTATATTATTAAATAAAATAAGTTTAAAATTGTTTCCAAAGATAAAGAAGGACATTTCCTAAAGATAAAGGATCACT